CCTATTATATTAGACGATATGACATGCATAATATGTTTGGGAATGAATTACTGATTGGCAGATTGTTTTACAAGTAATTTTGGACCATTTAAACGGGTCTACTCACTATATATATATATATATATATATATATATATATATATATATATATATATATATTAGGGCTGCAACTAATAATTATTTTCATTGTTGATTAATCTATTGATTTTTTTTCTTGATTAATCAATTCGTTGTTTGGTCTATAAAATGTCAGAAAATGGTGATAAATGTCGATCAGTGTTCAAAGCCCAAGATGATGTCCTGAAATGACTTTTTATGTTCACACCATAAAAGATATTCAGCTTGGTGTCACAGAGGAGTAAAGAAACCAGAAAATATTCAAATTTAAGCAGCAGAAATCAAAGAACTTTTATTTTTTTTTAATGATAAATCAATTACCGAAATAGTTGGTGATTAATAGTCGACAACTAATCGATTAATCGATTAATTGTTGCAGCTCTAATGTGTGTTTGTGTACACTGAATAAAAACATACATATACATACATACATCACCTAAACTGCTTATCCTTCTGGGTCACGGTGGGGTGCTGGAGCCTATCCCAGCTGTCATTAGGCGGAAGGCAGGATAAAATATAAACTGTGCACTAAAATTGGCAGACAAATGTCATATTTCAGCTTATTTTTATTTAGAAAATCAGCAAAACATGTCATTTGATCAGGTGCACCCAAACTTTGGCATACAACTGTATATTTATGTATGTCATGTTATCAAATATAACAATAATAAATGTGCTTGATTGACAAAAACCCCTACTAATGTGTACTAATTTAGGTTCATGCATGCAATTTTTTAATCATTTAAAACAAACGGGTTTGTGTGAGTAGTTTGTGTGGAGGACACTGGAGCAGGGTGGAATGCTTGGCTGGATGAGTGTAGTTCTAAGGTCTCCTGCAACCCATGAATTCATCCCAGAGTTATTTAAGTACAGGCTAAAGATCTGGAGTGAGAGTGAGTTCAGCCAGAACTGTCTGTCTCCAGATCTTGGGTTATCTTGGGATACCGGGGGTGAGTTTAGGGTGGGGCGAGGGGAGGGGGGGGTAGTGGGGGGGGGGTGGAGAATGAGTTGGGGGGGGTGAGAGACAGAGACATAGATAGAGAAAGAAAGCCTCGAGAAACAAAGCAAGAAGCTGATTGGCTAGAAAGAGAGGTTGAAAGTAAGAGGGAGAATGAAGAAGGACGCAATGTGAGAGAGAAATGGAATAGAATTGGAAAAAGTGTGTATGAGAGAGAAAGTGTACTCATAACCTAGAAAGGTAAGTGGGGGGACGAATGACGGAGAGAATAAGAGCTGTGGAAAGTCGGTGAGAGAGGGTGATGGCGATGTAAAGAGATAAGGGATAAAGGACATTAGGCCTCACGTTCTTTGGCCCGGGCAGCGGCCAGGGCTAATAATGCTTGAGCTTCATCCTGCTAATCAACTTGCCGCATGCACAGAGGCACACGGGGACGGGCACACAGCCTGGCACAGAGGTGCCGTGCCCTCACCCCAAATCCAATGTCCCAACTCCCACAGATGGCACTCGGGTCAGGTGATCAGGTGATGAGATTGGGGTCAGAAACTAGAAACCAAGCAGCCTAGTGCAGGAATTAGCATTTCTGTTGCAAAGTGCTATTAGTTTAAAGCAAACACTGCCATTAACTTCACACATCTCAATTAGATGATGGAACAACCTTCCATCTTCAATTCAATTCAGTTCAGTTCAATTCAATATCATTGCTATGGCAATATACAATTACAGTTGAGACTGTCACAAAGCAGCTTATGAAAACATAGAATGTGGAAACATATATCAGTGCTGAGCTGGAGACATTAGTTACTGAACAGTTGTGGAAGGTATGGAAAGGTATGTACATGTTGCTAAAGCAAACAAAGTTTCTGGAATCGGTTCCCGCTGAAATCCCACTGTACCGGATATACAGATAGGAATTAAATTTAACAACTTGAAAATGAATGAGAATCATAAAAAACAGAGATAAGAATGTAAATTATAGAGAACATAGTTAAAATCTCATGAGGAGAAAATTATGAAACATATAGGTTTTTAGTCTAGATGTAAAGACTGAGAGTGAGTCTGAATCCCAAACTGATGCAGGGAGGTCATTTTTCTAAGGTGCTGACAACAGGCCAGCACTTTGTGAAGGAAGTGTATGTGGCAGGTTATAAAACTCAACAAGTTTCCTAAGATACAAAATCAGACTATTCAGTACTGAAGCCCATACCTGCCAGGGAAGGATAAAAATCACCTATGAACTTCTGGAGCAGTATGTCAATGAAATAATGACTAATTTTCTCAAAATATTGACTTGTTAGTTCAAACAGTGACTTTGTGTCTCATAATAATGACTCACTATGTCTGAAATATAGTATATAAAGAATATAAAGTTAAAGTTTATGGAGTTATTTCCTCTAAATATTGACTCACTATGGCAAAATAAAGAACCATTGTCACACTGTTGAAATAATGACTTTATTCTGAAATAAGTATTTTTTTCTCTGTCACAGTTTCTGAAAGCAGAATTTCATTTTGTTATTACAAGATAATCAGTTTGTTTCTCAAAACATTGACTTACAATTATTAAATGACCTACTTTGACTAAATATTGACTTACTATGTGAAAATATGATGCATGATCCTAAAATATTTACTTTCTTGAAATGGAATGACTTGTTTTTTCAACAAAGTATCTCAACTTTTCAAGACAGTAAATCATTATTTTAAGATATTAAGTCAAATTCAAAAGAAAACTAGTCATATTCCAGGATATGAATCAACATTTTCAGAAAAAAAAAGTAATTATTTTGAGATATTACACCATTATTTTGAGAAAGTACATAATTGTTTCAAGATAATGAATCATTATTTCAAGATACTAAATCAATATTTTGTCTTACTGCTTGGTGGTAATGGATTTCCATAAGTCAAGAGGACTTTATAATCAATGAGGAATTTAACTGACAGCCAGTGCAGGGATGAAGGAGTATGATCAGATACATCACAGACTGAACACTCACCTCTTAAATAAGCCATTAATGAACAACGGTGGTTCGTCTCTGTTGTAAACTCTGTGTCTATTTAAGTATCAGCTCTAACTCTTGTTTCTGGAAGTGCCTTCGCTTGATGCAATCTCTGTACTCCAGCCTCCAAACACTAGCACAAGGATAAGCTGTCCAAGTGGACAACAAAGCACTTCTGGGTAAGAGCATCTGCCAAATGCCATTAAAGGACTGGATTGGCAAAAAATCAAATCTACACAATGTTCTTCTTACTCCAGATGTAGCAGATCAGCCAGGACATGTTTAGTGTCCAGACTCTGCTTCTGTAGTGCCTCTGTAACACTGTAACTAGAATGCTAACATTACTTATACTAGAAGTCAATAGTCACCCAAATCTTTTGCATAAATGCATCCCCAAAACTTCGCTGAACTCATTCAAGCCACATCCAGCTCTTTATTGAAGATCTGTTGATGTGTTTTTTTTTACAGTATGACTTACTATGAACTATAAAAATGAACAGAACTCCACTGTGTAGTTGAATACAGTGGACAGCAATTTTAGACAACAGTTGTGTGGAATTATCTTGCAACCTCCAACTCCCCCTCATGTTCATATATTCAGACATAAGAGCTCTAGATCATGTTCATGACTTCTGTTGTTTCTTTTGAAAAATATAAAATCTTCAATTTGAAAATTTAAGATTGATAGTTTTAACAAAAAGAAATCATTAACATAACCTGTGGCGTTTATATATCTGCATGACTTGTGTGACTTTAATAGTCCACAGGAAGTCATTCTGCCTCCCTAAATCACACTGACAAGTCTGCATGACCTTAATGAAGACCTGATCGTGGTTTGAGTGCGTTGACAAAAGTTTTAGGTGGCGTATTTAAAGAAAAGATTTGGGTGTCTATTGACTTCATGTTGTTAGTGACATTAGCCTCATAGCTCCAGCACTAAACTACAGAAACAAAATTGGACTTAAACATGTCCTGCCTATGTGACTATATGGGGTAAATGGAGAACTAATTTAAGGACTAATTCAGGACTTTTATTGTCACAGCATTGGTTTTTCTGCTGAACACCACTGAAGTTACAATTTGTGTGAAGTGCTGGCAAAGGAGAAATGTTTATTCTGCATTATCATTGGATTGATTAAATGAATTTCATAAAGGTCTTAATTCTGACATGCTGTATCTATCACCATGTCAATGAATGCCCAAAGGCAAATATCTGAATATTCTAAATTAGAATAATAGTTATACTTAGTTTTACCTAAATTCAAGTCATGCCTGCTCAGTATGCAGCGCTCATGCTGCTTCAGGTTTTTGTTTGAGTGGTTCAACTTGCATCTAGTGCTCTATTTTTACTTTTTACCATCAGCCTAAGATAATTTTAGATACCTTATATAAGATAACCAAGGCTAATCTACCACTCAGATGTAAATAATTAGCTGCGGAAAATGAAAAAAAAAAACTGTGGGCCAGATTTCAGGGTAGTTTAAGACCTCTGCTCTAGACTCTAGCTTACTAGCACAAGGCCAACCTGTCCAAGTGGACAACAAAGCTCTTCTGGGTAAGAATATCTGCCAAATGTCATTAATGTAAATGTAAATTTGAAGGAGGAATCAGGGAACTTCCAATGTCTTTGATATATGCTCATTTTAGTATAATGTTAATCTAAATTTCTGTCTCTCTCTTTTTGTCTCTTACCCTTCTCCCTTCCTTTGCTTCACACATGTCCTGTCCTAACACCTGAACTGAACACATGCACCTACACTTCAGTGATGGCTGGATATTGTGCAATGTCTGAGCCAGTATTAGGCTAGCACCCCACCGTGGGTAGAATCCTGAAGGACAACCAGAGTGGCTTTAAAAAACATCTCTTTCTCTTGCTGGCTAACTACACAGGCTAACCACACAGTTCCCACCACCCACACATACCAACACGCTCCATTTCCACCACCGTTCCTTGAGTCATAACAGGAGAAAACCAAAATGACCACCCACAGAGACTCTAGCTTCCTCTGGCAGTCGCACCATCCACGATGGCATCCAGAACCTTCTGCAAAACAGAGGAAACGAAGGAAAGCAAGTAGCCACCAGGACTTAGACAATGATGCCTCTGCACCCTCCAACCGGGTACTGCGGGGTCACGGTTTGTGGGGCAACTGGCTCCTCCTGCCTCTGTTCATGATCTCATACTTGCCCTGTGAAGCCTGGGGCGCCACTTTCAAGATTGCCATCATAGGACCCTGGACGTGTGACCCCTTGTACTCCAAAGCTCTGCCCGACCTGGCCGCTCGACTTGCCGTCAACCGCATCAACAAGGACCCTTACCTCAACAAAGGCTACTGGTACGACTACACGCTCATCAACGAGGACTGCCAGACGTCCCGTGCCCTGGCCCGATTCGCTGAGCTGGAGGGCTACGGCTCGGCCTTCCTGGGGCCAGCTAATCCGGGCTACTGCTCCTCTGCTGCCCTGTTGGCCAAGAACTGGAATGTAGGCCTCCTGTCCTGGGCATGCCTGAAGGCTAACATGGAGGATGGCACGTACCCCACGTTTGCACGTCCACTGCCGCTGTCGTCCCGTGTGTTGTTCGCTGTCCTTCGATACTTCCGGTGGGCCCATGTGGCTGTCATTTCCGAGGAGAGTGACATCTGGGAGGCGACCAGTCAGGAGGTGGCCTCCTCACTCCGCAGCCTGGGCCTGCCTGTCAGCACCGTGGTCACCATGGAGATGGACAAGGATGGGCCCCGGAAGGCATTGCAGAAAGTACGAGATGCGGACCGTGTACGAGGTGTGTTTAAGGGGTTTTGGGTTGGGTTGGCTTTGATGCAGTAGTTTCATGAATAAAAAAAAATTAATAAAATTTTCCTTTTACTGCCAATGTAGCCAATCAGATAAGATGTTTGGTGCCTTTTAGATTTGCACTGGAGATACAACTAATGCAGCTAGCAAGTAGTGGAAGATTCTCTTGCCAACTGCATTCCTAAACCAGAACAGACTCATTAACGTAAAGGACATTGTAGAGATCCAAAAATAAATAGATAGTTTGATACTTTACAGTTTAGTTTTCTCTTTACAACAAACTCAGTTGATCAGCCAAGACATGTTTGGTTTCTGAAGTTAGCATCTTAAGTTTTGCATTGGAGCTGCAAGGCTAATGTAGCTAACAAGTAATGACAGATTATAGCCACTAATTAGCATCATGCAATCTGCATTCCTCCATCACACACTTGCTTTGAAACGTGTCCAATTGTTCAGTAATCTCAAGATGTCGTTTTACAGACGATGTACTGTTATCTGTAAAAGTAAGCAAAACTCTGTCACAAAGTTAAAAACACAGCTTGAATTTTGCCAATTACTTTTTAGAGATCACAGTATGTCACAGTGTCAGAAACCAAGTAAGCAAGTCTATATGAGATTACTGACAACTCAGCATGGTTTGAGTCAAGTGTGTAATAATCTAGCCGTGCAGTTTCCATAATGCTAACCAGCAGACATAAGCTTCCATTGCTACATTAACCTCGTAGCTCCAGTGTAAAACCAAAGAAGCCAAACATGTCCTGGTTGATTGATTCCATTTGGGTTAAGGAGAAAACTGTTAAAATTGATTTTGCCAAACTATCCTCTTAAATCCACTTTGTATTTATTTTACATGAAACACTTCACTAAAACAAAGCAGAGCTGATTTTTATGTCTTGATTTCTTTTTTTTATTAAACAATGTGGGTTTATTTGACTTTATTTGATTACCTTTCTTCAGGAAACTATTTATATACTAAAAAACACAAACAGTGAATGAATGAACTATTCAATTTAGTACTACAGTTGAATTTGGTTTAGGTTATTGCGGTGGTGAAATTTTACCAATAAAAAAATTAAAGGGGAACTCCACTGACTCAGAATTGGTGGTGAAAGTAACCAGACATCTGAAGAGTTTAATGCAGTGGTCACCAATCCTGGTCCTTCTGCAGAGTACAGTTCCAACCACAATCTGCCACACCTGCTTCAGCTACGTAACTTCTTCAGAAGACCTTGATTGGCTGGATTAGGTGCATTAGTGCTAAGTGAAGGGGGAGGGCCAGGTTAGATTCAGGTTGGTACTAAACTCTGAAGGGGCATAGATCTCCAGGAGGAGGGCTGGTGACCACTGGTTTAATGACTCTGAAAGCTCCCTCATAGAAAGTTGTGTAAAATCATTATAAATATACTGCCTGAGACACTGTTTTACAATAGTTCTGAGACAAATGTTCAGTCTAAAACATATTCTTTAAAAATTCATGGCTGAAAGGTCCTTGCAGGATGTTGCAAGACCATCAGCGCATTTCAACTGCCCCCTTCAGATGGTCTTCAGTACATTTTACACCTCTAGTAAGAGAAGAAAATACACTGCAAACCCTCTAATTATCTATGTTTCTTTCTGTCTGTCTGTCTCTGCAGTGGTCATCATGTGCATGCACTCTGCCCTCATGGGTGGAGAAGCTCAGTATAAGCTGTTGACCACAGCGACGCACATGCGCATGATTGACCGCGGCTACGTCTTCATCCCCTACGACACGCTACTCTACCCGCTGCCATATAAAAATGTGAGCTATCCCTTGCTGGCCAATGACACCAAGCTGAGGCGGGCGTACGATGGGGTGCTCACCATTACGGTGGACCAAGGAGAGCAGAACTTCTATGAGGCCTTCAAAGAAGCTCAGGACAGTTACGAGATCCGCAGTAGTGCCTCACCTGAACAGGTAAGGCAGCAGGGTGGGGTTCATATATTTCAGCTCTAAGAGTAGCAATGATAAATTACACAGTGAGGAGCTAAGACCCTCCACTGGTGTTAGGGCCAGTAATGTGATCAGGTAAGAGTAGGGTGGACTGACCGGAACAGCTTTCTCTGACCCTTATACATTTGGGGCCACATAGCTGTTGTCTTTTGCCAAAATTCTCCTCTTTCAGTGGAAACTGGGTGGTCCTAATCTTGGGTAAGATGTATGTAAGCAGTATCCTCACCAACCTCAAGGCTGATATGAACTGTCCTCCCCCCACAATTTAAAAAAACTGTGCCACCTAACCGTCTCTCTGTGTTAGAGTCAGAGAAACTTGAGAAAGCTAACAACCAAGCAAAAGCTAACCTATCAAGTGTAACTGCAAGCTAGCTCAACTGACTGCCTGTTTTTCATCCATTCTTTCATTTACCCAGCCACATCAGCATTCCTTCGAGACACGCATCCAGCAGTAAAATAAATAAGAACCTTGCCTTCTTTAAGACCACACCTTATAAAAGCTGGACAATGTTTCAAACTCAGCAGGGTCTACAACACAACCTGTATATGTAGAGAGTTTCACTTATTTCTCCCTGCTTGTGCTGTTGAGCTCTGCTTCAGTAGCCACGTATACATGCAGCCTAATAATCCGTTACTAATCCGACTAATAGCTCAATCGGAGTAGAATACGTCCATGTATACACCTCATTTGGAATAGACTGGTCCGATTGAGGCCATTCGGAATACAATTTTCCGAATTCAATATCTGATTAAATGAGGTGGGTAATCCTGTAAATAATCTGTTAAATAGAAGAATAATAACCATGTAAATGCCTGTATCTGACTACATTCCCAATCGGAAAGTTTAAGTACGTTCTGCACGTGTGCTTCATAGTGAAAGTTTATAACGTTCAATATGGTGGGAGTAGAAACTGGTCTGCAGAGGAGATGAAGTTTATACTTTGAGCTTTAAAAGATGGCGGTGGGATGGGTGTCCAGCTTATGTGTCTCAGAACACGACGTCTTCCTCTCGCCCTTTTTTAATAAGTACATGTGAAGCACGTTTTCCTGAATCTGACGTCATTTTAAAGCAATTAAAAACACAAGCACTACTCACTGCTGCTCATCTCATGCTGACTGGGCTCATGTGATGTTTGTTGCCATGGTAACGTCTACTCTAAGTGGTTCTCTACGCATGTGCATAATTTTGGATCGGATTACTTGTAGTGAGCATGTAAACAGAGATTTTCCATCAGATTGTTAAGTAGAGTGAGCATATAAACACTTCATGTATTCAATCAGGTTGGCAAAAATCTTTGCATCTAAACACAGCCAATGGTGTAGCAGGCTGGGAGTGTTGGAATGAGGGATGTCAACCATGGTGCTCCTCCCATCATCATATTAGGCCACACCCAGATTCTCCCTGTTCTCAGATAGGTCTGATAAGCGATTTTTAAGCCATGGTTTATTATATTTCTTGTTTTTTTTACATTCAAAATATTTTGTTGGGTGACAACACTTTAAACAACAAGTTGATTAGATCCATTAGTCAAAAACTGCAATACTAAAGAAGGTACTCAGTTTATTCCCTTGTTATAATGTCAGCACATATCAGCACTCAAAGCTTCAGCAGTTTAACCCCACAAATGGCCAGGACCCAAACCATGCAACATTGGCTTGTAGGTGGCAGTAGAAGTGGTGCATTATGTGTCAGTCATTGTAAATGGTCACACGTTATGTTAAGAGTCTCCTGTAGGTCATCAACACATGCTTAACTGTTAACCAACTAACCGAAACTCAGGGTTGATTATAAGCAGGGGAAGAGTTGGATTTGTTTTAGACTGTGGGTTGAAGTTAAGACGGGGGTGGGGGTGGAGGGGTTGGGTGGCCTTCTGGCTCAAATCAGATGCAGACCTGCAACTCCAGCCCAAGTTCTCTCCCCCCATTCAGTCTTACACCACAACCGTATGTTAAAGCCATGATCTGAACTTGCTAAGTATATATTAATAACTCATACAGTGTGGGTGTAAATTAAGCTATTTGCAGAAAGTTATTTTAGATGTTTTATTCAATATTTCAATAATTCTATGAACAATAAGTTATTAAACAATTAATAAAATACTATTTATTTACATTCTTGATTTTGTCATGTTACCTGCCTTGAGATTTGATCTCCACTTCTGAAATATGTTAGAAAGTATTTTTGTTTTAGCTTGATTTACAACTTCATAGTGTCCTACTAACTCCTTGAAAATGGTGACGATGCACAGCCGTGACATTACAATCATTTCATACATATCTACAGCCAAGATGCTTTCATATAATTGAAGACATTAATTCCAAAAGTAGTGTACACAAAATATATTTTGATATGTTTTGATATATTTTGATATATTTTGTTTGCAAATGGATGAGTTGGGGGGATGAGGTGACGTTCAATGGTTAAAACAACTTGCGAAGACTGTTGACACTATCTTGCTGAAAATAACAGCACAAACCAGCATGCATTCCAAGCGTGTTTATGCTGGTCTGGTGCTGGATGGTCACCCAGCATGGTCATCAGCAACCAAAACACAACATATGCTGGTTTTGCCTGTGACCAGCATATTAACTTCCATTGCTGCTGACCAGCATCCAAAACACAACATATTGTCACTGTCAGGACAAAACACCATATCTCCAAAATTGAAACTTTAAAGGAGAAGGAAAAAACGTCCTTAATTTTCAGTATTAGCTAATGTAAGGTGATTTTTGGACTGACAATGTAACAACAAAAACACAGATACAAGGTTTTGTCCTGACACTGATGATATGCTGGTCAATGCTTTTTTCTAACAGGGTCCTCACGGGGATTACGGGTAATCTAATTAACCATTCATGATTCATCTTGTGAAGTCATTTATGCCATGGAACCCTCTCTGATAATGGGCTATGCATCAGTAAGGGATTAATTGGGAGTCATAATCTCTCCTTATCTGCCTCTCTAATGGTTTCTCCATTCTTTGCCACCTACAACAAAAGTGATTCAGTGAATTTACTTGTTTCAAATGTTTATATCATTTCCACGTATTCTACACTTTTCTGTCTTTCGTTTGATTTACTTTCAGCAATAAATGTGTTGAAGCAATTTATCTATTCACATGGAAATGATGCACAAATTTGAACCAAGTTAATGTTTTAGTGCATGCTGTGTTACATGACTATAAGTCTAATATAATGAATACAATGTACTAATATTAGTGACCTTTCTTAAGGTCTCTCCATTCTTTGCCACGCTCTACAACATGCTGTACTACACGGCCATGGCGGTGGAGCACAGCCGGGCGGCTGGTGGGGGCCGCTGGGTAACTGGAGAGATTCTGGCTCAGAACGAGGGCGGCTTCGAGTTCAATGGCTTCAACCAGCCCGTGTCGGCGGGCAAAGAGGGTGAGGGCATGCAGATCCGGTACGTGGTGCTGGACACTGATGGCGTGGGCTCCAACCTGCACCGCACACACGTCCTGGAGGCGGCACACACGTTCGGCAAGTTCGGGGCACTCAAGTACATGGGCAAGTCCATTCACTTCGCTGGAGCCTCGCCCAGCAGTGACCCCAACTGCTGGTTCAGCAGATACATTGCCTGCAGCGGCGGTAAGAGAGGCCACACTGAGCTACACTTCTGTGTGTGTTAAAAGGGATTTTTCAATTACTAAATAAGTCATTGGTTGAGATGTAAATAAAGTAATTCAGAGTGGTTTGATGTGAAACTTACTAACTCAGATTTCTTTACGGAGGTGGTGATAGGAACCAGGGGTCACAATGTCTACAACACAAATACAGCCATTTTACTTACTAGCCAACACTACAAGTGAACCTACACGTGTCTTTTGAGCTTTTATATAGTATTGTAATGCTAATCGTAAAAAATCGTAGTGGGAAATCCAGAACGTAAAAACATTTTCATGAAAACTGGGGATTATTTTGCATTAGAATGAATGTACCTCTCCTCCATGAATGGTCTTTAAAAATACCTTTTAGACCTTAAGCTTATTGTAAAGCAATTGTAAAGCAACATCGCAGTCATCAGAAAATGCATCGGTTAATTTTGTGTAACAACTTTCTGTGATGACTGAAGGAATTTAATGCTTCAGATGTGTCATTGCCAGTTTGAACAATACTGACACTGTATTCACATCAAATATCTTAAACATCAGTGGAATTGTGCTTCATTCATAAGAGGGCATGATATATTAGCATTCGATTATAAACACTGTTTTTATGGGTTCAATAATGGAACTGGAAATAGCTCAGTGGATAACACCATCACCCCACACACAGGGCTAAACCACTGTCCTTGGGCAAGACTCCCAATGTTAAATTCACGTTGCAAGTTCTGGATAAGAGCATTTGATGAATAACTGTCATGTTTTATTTAGTATCATCATGTAAAAGAACTGATTTTTATTTTAAAATTCAGAATATGCTGCCTGTGTTAAATAAGCTAATTAGCATTCTTGGCATGAGTTATCCTCAGCTGGATACACAGCAGCTCTAAAACGCTAACAAAGCTCCACATTTGGAGACTCACATTACATTTTAACTCTTCACTCTGTCTGTTTTGCAGTTGCAAATATAACAGGTTAACTCGCTCTGTCCTCCTTCTCTCTCCTTTGGGCAGGTATGGATGGAGTGACCTTCTTCTTCCTCGTCCTACTCTTCGGTGCTTTAATAGCTGCAAGTGTTTTCCTCTACCATATGAAGTAAGAGCCTATTTCTGTGGGTACTGCATTCATTGGACTTACCTTGTTGGGGTATTCGGTTTGTAGTTCACACTGAAAAGGCCCATTTCATAGACTTTTGTTTCATTCACTCTCCAGTTCACAGTCCAAAATGGAAAAACACATTTTTATTTATCTGCCTGTTCAGCAGTTTAGCTCCACCCATTCATATTGAAGTTCTAAGGAGTGTTTCAGCTCTGAGGTTTTTTTTTATTGAGGCACAATATGAGGCAGCCAATGAGAACAGAGCACATTTATCTTAGAATCTGTCTTAAAGACTCATTTTTGGTGCATAAAATCACACATATGTTAAAAGTGGACCTCAAGAGAAAACAATAAAAAGAAAAATGCAGGATGTGCACCCTTTAAACTGGAAGTGGAGAGTGTGAAAGCAAAGCAGACAGCAACAATGTGATGCACTCATAACTGCTTTTTATGAGGGCTATGGTCTAGATACAGAGCACAATCCCTAATGTAAAAACACCTAATTCAGCTAATTAACTGATTAAGCTCTGCATGTGCTGCCATCCACTAAGGCCAACTTGGTAGATACAATTTCCAAATGTGCTAATGTCCTGCAATGTCCTGCTCTATGATGACATAGAACAAGAGAAATCAACCAGAATACTGCATTCACATAAACACAACCAAAACTGCAGCACTGTTCACCATAACGCATGCATCCCCTCACCACAGACACGTTTGCCCAATGAAGACGACATAACTAAGTTAAAATCAGACAGCTGACATGTACAGAAAAAAGCAAACGTAAAAACCTAAACTGATCATGCTAATCTACTGTATGCTGCCATGGTGGGCATGAAAAAATGGTTATGGTCCATTCATGGCTTACCTTTGACGACTCTTTGACGATGCAGTGAAGTGATGGTAGATGTTTGCTTTGACATTTTCACAAAGCCCATTTCAGCCTTCATATTAAAAGAGCATTGTAGGTACCAAATCCACAGAAAATTGACGATTCAGATGTTTTTAAATAAGTTTTTTGGCTTTGGCTGGGTAGAAAATTACATACTATATGTGACGGAATTTCAAACGCCAGTTTGAAATTACAACTTTTTACTGCAATTGAAGCTTTAAATTCAAACACTAGCTCAACAAACTAGGCTTGAGGCAATAGTGGATTGCAACAGTTGCTAAGCAGTGATTGGAGGGCTGAGAAAAGAAGGGGGATCTTATGGCATTTGACTGGAGCTGTGATCGACCGGAGTAGGCCCAGGCCCTACTCAGGCCCACCCATGGCTATAATGAGGCCAAGTCAATGATTGTATGCTAAAACCAATATTAAAATGCTTAGAACGTGAGACTGCTAAATTGAAATAGAATGAGTTTTAAGGTCAAGTGGACAATATGTAGCAATTAAATTACGACAATACAACAAACTCACAGTGTAAACTCATAAATATATGAAGTATTTTACAACACCTTTCAATGTGTCTCAGCCAATCAGATTTTAGAATCATATGGTCTATGAATCTAGGGGGTGTTTCACTGATACATCACAATGCATTTTACGCAAAATCACAGACAGGCTGAATGAATCTACAAACAATCTTCTAGTCAATTTAATAACAAGTAAAATAATGTGGATGACAAAAATTAAAAGGTAGGGCTTAGCCCCACTGGCCATTTATACCAGTCATCACTAAATAAATCTTATCTAGAGATATAAGTCTCATCAAGTTTATACAGACTTATAATTAATACTACTCTATATTTTTGAAGCTTGGTAATATTAAAGCTCTTGATGTGACTCATTTTGTGTTTTGTTTCTTTTCTGATTCTGTGTATGTGTAGAGGAAGTGGTCGAGTGAATATTTTAGAAGCACTTGGAGGAGGAGGAGGAGGAGGAGGAGGAGGAGGAGGAAGAGGGATCGGAGCCCCCACTAAGCTAGTGCTCACATTGGATGACCTGGTCTTTATCAACACACAACTCAGCAAGAAGGTAAATAACTCTTACTAGGCTTCTTTCTGTCTGTGTGTATTCCACTTTTTTCATCTCTTTTGTTCAACTCTTCTGCTTTCTTTTTCCATATTATTACAATACTTCCTTCTTTTCTCCTTTTGCTTATGTCTCATTTTTGATTGGTAATATGGTTTTTGAACAGTCATCGTTAAATGATGATATTTTTGCTTATAGGAATGAATGAGATGCAAACGTTTATGTAGCCCAGCTTATATTAAAATGATAGAAATCAATTAGTAACATCCTATTAACCATGTAGGATATCATAGCAATCACCAGCAACCACCTGGCAACCCCTAAGCAACCACCTGGGATGCCATAGCAAGCAGCTAGCAACACCCTAGCAACCACCTTGCATACCTCATAGCAACACACGATTAACCATTTAGGATACCACAGCAACCACCTAGCAACACCGTAGCAACTACCTGGGATACCGTAGCAACTGAATAGCAATATCTTAACAGCTTTCAGCCGCACAGTCAGTTTTCTAGTTTGTTCTGTCCTCTATTGACTACATTCTGTGCTGGTCTCAGCCTTCTCCAGGGGCAAATCCTGAGTGAATGTTTATGATGATAACCAGCTAACCAACTTGTTAACTACACACAAATAATGCAGTGTAAGTCTATAAAAAGCTGTATGGTGTACGACTAGATTTAAATGTTGCTTTAAATTATGCATATTTTGCATTATTTGGGGTGGTAAGTACATAATGCTATTACCTTTATATTGCACTACAGAGTGAGTCATTTCAGACTCACTTGATGGTAGAAAGCTAGCTTGTATAGTCTTCCTGTGAGCAGCAACAAGCAAGTGACTAAACGCTTTCTAACATTTTTGATTGTTCCGTCACAATTTAATGAGATGAGAGACCATAATGATGACTTATATGAACAACACACTAGTAGCTACCTGCATCTTGTTTTCTCCAACCTCCATCCAATCTCATCTGTTGCTACTACAGCCATATGGATGGCAGAAAAATGATTCACTGTTGTTACATGTGTCCAGTCTCACTTTGACTGGACATCACAAACTGCTTAGGCCTGGTGATCTGTATGCTCTGTAGAAATGCGTAATAGGCTTATCTAATGAAAACTAGTCATTCTTGCAATGGGGGTCCCCCTTGGAGGTGGGGGCTGTACAAAATTTGTGTAGTTTGTATACAGGAAGAACTGGCACTGACTGTAGAGTTATTTGCAAAATCTTGGACACTTTCGGCCAAATGGTTTGCTTGATATTCTAAATGACAATAAGGCAACACATGCTCTAAAAAACATATTTATGTATGACATTTTTTTCTGCAAATTTTAGTGCAATATTAGCTGAATTTTACACAACCTTTGTACAGGCCATATTTTGTTTTATTATGTGTATTAATTATTTGTATTAAAATGTGCAGAGGTGTGTTAATTTTTTCACCAAATCAAAAAACTCCAGACAACTGTATTTAAAACGTAATACTTATTTCTCTCTCTCTCTCTCTCTCTCTCTCTCTCTGTAGAAGCTGAATGAAGACAGCTTAGTAAAGAGTCAGTTAGATGTGAAGACCCCTCGCCACTCAGTGTCTGGACGCAGCTACATCACCTCCACTCCTGAAAGCTCCAACGTTGCTGTGTTTGAGGTGTGTGTGTGTGTTTATATATAGAATGTTCCACTTGTTGGAAGTGTTTATAAATCACATTATCCTTTAAATTATTTAATGCAGCTTTGCACTACATTTTTTCTACTTTACATAATTATACTTAGATAATTAATTACCTACTTCATTTCAGAATGAGTTACATTCTGTGTCGACAGGTCCAAGTCTGTGTCATTTTTTCAGTTTGTGTCGATGACCGGAAAAAACAAAAACGTCATTTATAAAAACTTCAACTTCAAATCATTATAAAATTATTACCTGCTTGTTATGAACACAAATGGAAGCATGGAAAGTTTAAAATTTGCACTCTAGACAGAATGTCTCCGCTTGTTTCAGTTAGCTTAGAGTGAGAAATAATGAAAAAAAAAAATAAAACTACGAAAAGTTAAAAATCCCATTTCATGAAAAAACAAAGCTTCCTTGCTTTTTTTAAAGGAAAGAGTTTGATGTATTAAGTAACAACTATTAATGTTTCATTGTACTAAATGCCCATATAGTGAAAATGAAACTACAAAAATATCCTGTTTTGAGTTCACTGATATCACAAAATACCAAACCATTATATACACCTATTCAGCTTACAGCAGTTCAGCTCCGCCCATTCATGCTGAAATTATAAAGAGTGTTTTTGCCTGCTTTTTGAAAGAGGCGTAATACTGGACAGCCAGTCAGAACAGAGGTCTTTGCATGAAGTTGAAGCATTAAAATGTGTTATGCATTTGGCAGGGTGACTGGGTGTGGCTGAAGAAATGCCCTAATGGAGGATCTGTTTTAGATGTCAGCGACAGAACACAAAAGATCTTCGTTAAGGTAAGAGAAGGAGAAACAGAGGAAGAATTCACTGAAAAAGTGAATGAGCATTGTAAAAAATGAGAAGTCATCACAAGAATTATGAGGTAACTGATTACACAGCTTTTCTTGAGTGAACTTAGCTGGAGGACATCAGAGTTCACCCACCCCTGAACTTCTTAGTTTAGTCAAAAGAATTAATCTAGAGTTTGTTCTTTGCTCAGTTTCTCCACTAACTGGGACTGCAACACACAATCTCATCAGACATTTTCTCCTCTTGAGCTTCCAGATATGGACAGCAGTGGCTTTGGGCTTAACCTCACAACCTCCTGATGTTGAAATTAATTAGACAGTTTCACCACAGATGTTCATGCTACTTTTTAAAGCACATATAGAATATTTCACTTGTTGGAAATGTTTATAAATTACATTTATCCTTAAATGAGTTAATGCAGCTTTGCACTACATTTGTGTTACTTTAAATAATTATTAAGATGTAATTATATGGTACTTACATAATGAATTGCACACTTTTTCTCAAGTCTCTCACATTTTAACGTTTCACTGTGAGTTACATTCTGTATCGACAGATCTGAGTCTGCACTTCCAGTTTTTTCAGCTTGTGTTGATGTCAGAAAATAGCAACAATGTCATTTGTAAAAGATGTTATTTCATTCCCAAAACAAGATTGTACAACTTTTCATCATTTGAGGTGTTCATGCGCACTCAAATAACAGGGCGAGGGCCGAGAGAACTGACTGATTCTGAGCACAAAGCTACATAAAGGAGTAAATCAAATCCAATGTACAAAACTACAAATAGAAATAGTTTGTGCTGCAAAAGTAAAACAATTATTATAATTATTACTTATTATATTAGGCTGACTGTTAGGTAAATAACATGCTAATGGGCCAATAACCCAGCTACCAGCACGTGAGTCAGTATTGGCATATAAGAATCGGCCCAGGTACACTCATGTCGGCAAAAATCCTGAGAGCAGATTCCACCCGTATTGAGGTCCGAGCTCCATCACCAATGCTCCACTGCGGAGACGGGAAGCTTCTGGAAACTTCAGAAGGCTTCAAAATGCATTTGGTGAGTAATGCTTGATTTATTTGCCATAACAATAGTTTATCTTTGGGCATTTACTCAGACCTAATTCTATAAAATGTTATTTTCTGTTCTATAATATGTTATAAATGTTGAACCCCTTATGTTAAATTGGAAATGAACATCATATGCTAGCTAACAGTTAGTAGGCTATCCATTATCTGTTTTTTGCAGCCTCTTTTAGGTGAATTCTTTCTCTCACAAAATAATATGAGAAATTCTAAAATCAATAAAAAAGTCTTCTTTTAAATTTGAGATGGTTTTGAATTTCTGTTCCATTTCCAATAAAGTTTTTCACAGTTGTTATGGGTCACTAGTTATCTAGCTCGCTAGCTAACCTAGCATTAGCTAATGTTACATTAGCACAAGCTAAGTTAATGTTAGCATGCTAATAGCTCTGCTGGAAGAACCGTTCAGTTCTGGCTATCTTGTGCTGAGACGTATAATTAGATAATAAATGAGTGACTGGTGTTGGTGAAAGCAGAGATTAACCTGTTCTGTAATGTATGGGGATGTTAGCTTGCTGGCTAGCAGGCTAATGATTCAGACACTTTCTCTTTTTATAGTCGCCCCCACATTTTTATGTTTACCACCAGCATTTCTCAGGAAGGGAAGCGACTTTTATTTAGCTTTGTTTCTCGACTATGAGGCTGAGTTGTTTTTGCTCTTTTTTGCCTGTGAAATAGCCCAAAATACGTATATCTGTTTTTGACTGAAGTCAAAATTTTAAACTTCAACAAAACATCAGCACGACTAAGCCTATGTTTCCCTCACTCATGATTGACCATTGACTGACTGTAATGACCACTGGGAAAGAACAGTTTTGTGACGTTTTTAAATGTTTTCTCCTGGGGGGTAAATGAATCTGCTTCACATGAATCCCCATCTTATGATATACAACCAAAGTTTGACTGATTAATCTATATTAAAATCATGTTTCAGTCTTCTCATTAGGAGGGAACAAAGTACAAAACATCTAAACTCTTAGGTTTCGAAAAGTAGAACTTCTCTTTATAAAATTTGACTTGAGCTAAAGTAAAAGTATTGCATTTATGTTTTTACTTACAAAAGTTCTTTCTATTAAAGTTGGTGTTAATCAAAAATCAATCATGACGCATCTTTTTGTAAACAGTTTTATTTATTTATTTATTTAATTGCAAAAGTTAATATATTTTAATGGAAAAGTAAATCAAGAATTTTGCTGGTCATATATGATGGACATTAACTAAGAAGGTAAACTAGCAAGGTGAAAAGAACTAACAAAGTTCCATTTTGATTTCACTTTGACTTTAAATGCAAATTTATCAAAGTATCCTAAGTAAAAGTACTGAGAGTTGTTGCAGTTATCTCATTTTATTGTACCTCGATGCATCTCTTGTATGTTTTGTGCTTGTTTTTGTTTGTCAATGTCATCTATTGTGCATCAAACTCAGTCAGTTGTAATAGGGATCAGTTACTGACCTTCTAAGACAACATTTCACTTGAAAATATTCTGGAGTTTTAGAAGCCTTCAGAGTTTTTAAAAATCCTCACCACGAGTGAGCTGGCTCTTCTCAACCTGGCGAGGGGGCAGCAGAGAGGCAGGCAAAAGTATTTAACCAAAAGTAACACTTTTAAAGTAAGAAGTTTACTTTGTCCATCCTGCTCCTCGCTGACCATCTCAGCCAAAGTCTAGGAAAAAAAGTATTTCTCAGCTATGGAAGCGACATCTTTCCTGATTTGAGGCCTGGATGCGTAAACAAATGCAGTTATTCAGCATAAATGTGGCTATATCTGGTTCATTTGTCTAAGTTAGTGCTTTTAAACGTTTACCAAATGTTTTGTCTTCCTACAGCCATCTATCTGCTGCTTCAGATTCTCGACTAATAAGGACAGCTTGTCCCAGGCACCTTCATTTATGATATTATTTATAGTAGTGTTTTTTGTAATATTAGTACATATTTCATTACATAGTGAACCACATTTTTTAACATAAGACTTTGCCAATATGACATATTTTAACATGCATTTAAAACAGTGGCTCACCTGCTTTGCTTTTTACTTTGCAAAACCAATGTACAGTGCCCTCCACAAATATTGGCACCTTTGGTGAACATGAGCAAAATAAACTATAAATAACATTTTTTATTGCTTATAATTTATAAATCTTACCTTTGTTTCCAGTACAATGATTGATAAAAAATCTTATCGGGAAAACACTATTTTTCTCAAATCTGTCTGTGCCATAATCGTTCGCACCCCTTTATTTAGTACTTTGTGCAGCCTCCCTTTGCAAAAATAGCAGCTCTGATTCTTCTCCTATAAGGCTTAATGAGATAGGAGAACACATGGCGAAGGATCTGAGATCGTTACTCCATACAGAACCTCTCCAGATCCTTCAGATTCTGAGGTCCGCACTGTGGACTCTCCTCTTCAGCTCATCACACAGGTTTTTCTGTGTGGTTTAGGTCAGGGGACTGAGGTGGCCATGGCAACAACTTGATTCTGTGGTCAGGGAACCATTTTTGTGCTGGATTTGAGGTCTGCATTGAATCATTGTCCTGCTGGAAGATCCACACTATGGGCCAGTTTAAGCCTCCTGGCCGATGCTGTCAGGTTTTGATTTTATTTCTGCTGGTACCTGTAGGAGTCTGTGATACCATGTGTCTGAATAAATTGTCCAGGGCCTTTAGAAGAAAAACACCCGCCAGTATCACAGATCCACCACCATACTTCACAGTGAGGATGAGGTACCTTTTCTGCAAGGCTGTCTTTGTGTCTACACCAAACTCACCTCTGGTGTTTGTTGCCAAAAGCCTCTATTTTGGTGTCATCTGAGCACAGAACACGGTCTTACTGAAGGTTCTAGTAATGTTTGGCAAACAGCACAAGCTTGAGTTCGTTGGTTCTTGACAGCCAAGGCTTTCTTCTGGAAAGCCCCCAAAGAACTTGTGGTTGTATAGGTGGTGTTTACTTGTAGTTTGGATTTCTGCAATTCCCCATCTGTGATCCTTGAAGATTCTTTGTCCAGTTGGACCATCTTCCTCACTGTGCATGGGGTCAGTATAGACAAACATGCTCTTCCTGGATGATTCTTAACATCTCCAGTTGTTTTGAACTTCTTAATTATTGCCCTTATAGTGGATAATAGGCATTTTCAACTGTTTAGCTATTTTCCTGTAGCCATTTCCTGATTTGAGCAGCTCAACAACCTTTTGTTGTACATTATTGCTGTTTTCTCTGGTCTTTCTCATAATGATGGATGACAGGTAATTTGGCCTGTGTTTCATCTCATATATATTCCCCAGTGAAACAGGAAGTCATGGCTGACCGTTTAAGTGTTCCTAATTGCTCAAGTGATCTTTAAAACATAGAATTTCTAAGGGTTTCAACAATTGTGGCACACATAGATTTAAGAAGAAAAATGTATTTCTTGACAAGATTTTTCTTTCATTTATTATACCTTAAATGAAGGTTAGATTTCTGCTAATATTTTGAATGAAAAAGGATAAGTAATCATGCTCATGATTACCAGGGTGCCAATAATTGTGGAGTGCACTGTATAAAGTAGTAGGGCTTTCAGGGTTGTGTGCTATTGAGAAACATATACCTTTTTCTTGAATTCTATTGTGAATACCTCTCTTTTTTCTGCTTTGTAGATTTATTTTCATACTGTCTACTATTCTTTCAGGATCATTTTCATTATTTTGTTTCTTCTGGTGAGTGTTTATTACTAATTTTGACTATTTTTTTCTTTATTTTAGACGGAGTCATGAAGAATCCACATTCATGAGCTGCTAGTGACAAAGAAATTGACCAGACACCTCCACATCTGTTAAGACCCAAGTATATATAGCATTATAGGGTAGCGGTCGGATATTCATTCTCTTGCTGTCTCTCTTTCTCCCCCACATACTCTACATATACACTCACTGGCTATTTTTTAAAGATACTCCTAACTTACAGATTGTAGTCCATCTGTTTCTCTGCATACATTGCTAGTCTCCTTTCACCCTGTTCTTCAATGGTCAGGACCCCCATGTAACAAAGATAATAGCTCATCTGTTCATCTGTTGCTGCACAGTTTGTCAGTCCTTTTTTATTCGTTCATTAGTGGTCATTTTCTGGTCACAGGACACTGTCACGTTTAACATGGTCATGTTTAACAGGACAGCTGAGCTGTTTAAAAACATTGCTACACTAGTACCAGTAGCACACATACACTACCATGTCAATGCTGATGCAGTGCTGTGAATGAAATAATAATACTAGCTGCTTTGTGGTGGTCCTGATCATTGATGATCAGAGTTAAAGGGAGTTAATGAGTGATGCAGAGACACAGATCAACTACTGTGATCATATATATTAAACATGAAATATGTGCATATATATATTAAAAGGCTCTGATTCAATGGAAATTGAACAATGATATCTAATAAAGTGTCCAGTGAGTGTATACATATAATCAAACACAGTGGTGTACCAGTTTAGTTTGTAATCTTTTGTAAACACCACTGTGACTGGTCATTTATCTATGTACTTGTTGCTCCACTGTTTTGTTATATTTTGTTTAGACAATTAAAGCAATTGTTTTGGAATGATTTCTGGTGTAATCAATTCCTGCACACAAACAGGTGAACATGAGTGAGCTTTAAGAATTGTTAACAAGACATCATTCACTACATTGTGGCTTAAAAGATGATAATTCACATTATTTTCATAAAACTATGGCAAATGATTGATTTTCCAGCTGTGTTCACAGGTTATTCTCTCCTCACTGGGATTGAGCCTGCCTGATCTCTACTCAGAGAAGTGAAATGACTGTGATGCTGTGAGTGGTATTGTTCTGTTTGCCTTAAGCGACTGAGTGAAGTATTGAGAAAGAACAAGTTGGTTTTCCTGTAAGGGTGTTTAAATCCTTCGCTTTGCTGTGTCTGAATTATTGTTAATGTTACATCTGAGCAAATATTATGCTTTTGATTGAGCTGCAAAATTAATAAATAGATTTAGAGGTTTAGATATATTCAAGAAGTAGTTCGAAGTAAAGAAAAATAATTTGCCAATAAAATGTTTTAATGTGCTGAGAATGTATTTTAATTATAGTGTGAATGATAATGTAATTATAAAATAAATAATAATGGTTATTTTTGCTTAAGTTACAGTCACCATTAAAAATCTTAAAGGTTATCAGAAACAGCCCAGTGTCATTATTACATATGGTGGAAAACTGCAACCCAAATTGAACTCTACTTTAAATTATTTATTAAGTAGTTGAATACAAACTTATTAAGTAGCTTAAAATTACACCAAGCTTTCATAGCTTGCAGATTTGGGAGAACTTAAAACCAAACACATTTCTACAGTGTATTAAACATTTATATACATGAAATATCAACTTCAGTCGTTTCCAGGTGGTGCACCTGATTAAACCATCACCCCAACACATCATTAGTCTGAACTCCATCAATGCCATAGCCTTTCATAAGTGAGTACCCTAGAGGAGAGAACGTCTGGTGGGATGGTGTAATGGAAAGAGTCTGTGCTAGTGGGGTAACAGAGTTTTAAAAATCTATATTATTGACCTAACCGAGGAGCAGAAGTAAAAAATGAAGAGAACTTTTGACTAAACTAAGACGTTTGAGTTGGATGAACTCTGGTGTCCTCAAGTTAACTTGACTTAACTCAAGGAAAGCTGTGTAATCAGTTACACTAAAACTTTTAGTTGACTTTATGACTTTATTTTTATCAGTGAGTGAAAAGGAGAACCGAGTGTCAAATGACAGAATGGCAAACCTGAAATCAGCAGGGCTGAAGTGTCTTTATCTCTCTGGTTTTCCACAGCTAAGGGACATGCGTCAGGAGAACCTGAACCTGTTTCTGGGTCTGTTCCTGGACTCTGGTATTTTCGGGGTAGTGACGGAACACTGCTCTCGGGGCAGCCTGGAGGACCTGCTCAATAACGAGGACATGAGACTGGACTGGATGTTCAAATCCTCTCTGCTCATGGATCTGATCAGGGTGAGACAGACAGACAGCTTTTTGAGTCCCTGTCTTCACATAAGAGTGACACACATCCATGTTGTCCTGAGAATGAGCCATCATTCAAATATCTGGTCAGCAGTGGTCTTGTGGTGGTCCCTTTCCTTTAACTGATGGGTAGAGGGGAACCTGTGCAGCAACAGATGGACTACAGTATGTAATTGTAGACCTACTTATTTAGTAATTTCAGGTTTATATAATAATTTCAGATGGCTGCCAGTGTGTTGCTAGGTTGTTGCTATGTTTTCCCAGGTGGTTGCTAAAATGTTGCTATGCCATTGCTATGTTATCCCAGGTGGTTGCCAACGTGTTGCTAGACCTTTGCTATGGTATCCCAGGTGGTTACTAAGGTGCTGAACGCTGCACAAAAACTTTTTGTCTGATGAGTCCAAAAAGTACAAGCACGCTATTTCTGTATAAACTCTATGATCCTGTGAAGTTTTGTGGTTCTAGCTTTGTCAAGCCAGCTTAATTATATGCATTTTTTCTCTGTATTGGTAGTGACATGACTTTTACTGTGATGGCCTATTTCTTTTAAAATAAAGTTCCTTGCACTTTTCAGTTGGTATAGGTGTTGTGCAGTAACTTAGGAGTAAAGTAATGAGTAGTAAGATTACTTTTTACAAGAAGTAAAAAGTATTCTTTAGAATTTGCTGATTTTGCTGATGGCCAAACCCCAAACCAGGCTCACTACTTTAATGTCCATGTGGCTGAGCTGTTTTACATCACTTTACAACGCTTTATAGGTTGACTTAAAAGGTCTTCAAGTCACACTGGTTGTATACTGCCACATCTACATGTCATTATCAAGAATTAAGCCAAAGCTTTGTTCTCTATGAAGCCAGTAGATTTGATGAAAAGTTAAAAACAAATTCCAGTAAAACTGGAATAAACAATAATAGTATTAACCTCTTTTTCTCCAGGGTATATTTTGTCTTGTCCATCTGGATTTACATGACCAAATCATAAGGCAAATTATTCAGTAACTGCATTAAATAAATGCAGATTTTTATTTTATTTTATTTTAATTTTTTTTGCTGAAAGCTCCCCTCAAATTAACAGAAAATGTGTTTTATGATCTACACATATTGCTATATGCTTACAATTTACTGCTGAAAGCCAGAAATCTTAGATGCTCTTTGTATTATTTTATAAAATTAATTTTTACAGAGCAGATCACTGAAGAGACGCCATCTGTTTATAGTTTATATGGGTCAACTTTCAGTAGCCAAAAAAAAAAGTAGTTCAGCTTCTTCTATTATAAGAGTTTATAGTTACATTACCCATCTAATTGACTGGAAAGAAGACAGTTACAGCTCTCATAGACACCCACCTTTTGAATGTAGCTTACGAAATATGAAAGTTATGAAGAATATGATGAAGTGCATTTTGAGTTTAAGAGGCTAAAGGAGTTTAAGAGGCTACGAGTTACTCGTATATATAAATACTTTATGTTCACCAGCATTCATTTTTCATCTTTACCTTCTCTTTCAGGGAATGAAGTACCTGCACAATAGGGCCATCATTCATGGCCGCCTGAAGTCTCGGAACTGTGTGGTTGACGGTCGGTTTGTTCTGAAAGTGACAGATTATGGCTTGAATGAAATCATGAACTCTGAGAACATCCTCTCCCTGGACGACAGCAAACCAGAGGGTAAGATACAGATCTGTTTGTACATGCATGTGGTGTTCTTCTAGCATTATGGGCCATGTGGACCATAAAATACAAAAATAAAAACACATCAAAGCATTACGTTTATCGTAATTGTCTTGAATTAACCAATTTAAACTTTAGTATTTACATATTTTAACGATTACTTATAAGGATAATATGTGGGGATCTGAGAGTAGTTGTTGCTAAGAATTTGCAATGTGGAGGCTTCAGTTAAGATCTAATGAATTAAAAGAATAGTTGGTCAAAAATCTAGTTTACTTAAAGTTACACTATGTACGTCTTTGGGATTTTGAGACCTCTCTGGTGAAAATGTGTAAGTGCACATTGCAGAAGAACATTTCATAAAGTAGACTGTGCTTCAGACCCCTTCCCTGAGTGGATGATTGCGAGTTTCTTGAAAGAGTACTCAAAGAGAACTCAGTCAAAACTTGGTAAATGGCATGTTTTCTGAGGATATAAATGAATTATTGACCATTGCCATCATATCTTCATCAGTATAATGTTAATTTTCAGACCTAAACCTTGAGTCAGATCTTCTTTCTGAGCCTATGCATGTAATATTAATACATAAAGATGTACGATGTGACCTGAAAAACTTGCTTTGCAGAGCGACTGTGTGATTACGATGTATGCATGTTTATAAAAGTATTAACATCACTTTTCTTTTTTGTGTTTTCTCTCTCTCTCTCTCTCTCTCTCTCTCTCTCTATACAGACCAGTTGTGGACGGCTCCAGAGCTGTTGCGCAGTGCGAAGCTGATGAGGACAGGCACGTACCAGGGAGACGTCTACAGCTTCTCCATCATCATGCAGGAGGTCATCTCCCGCAGCGCTCCTTTCTGCATGCTGGACATGCCTCCACAAGGTCTACACCCACACACATATACATGATACTTTTAAAAACGCTTCAAATAAGTAAAAATGTAATAAATGTTCGCAAAAACTGATTTGAAAAACCTTTGCAGGGTTCAAACCACTTTTAGGACAAATGATTTTCATCGTGTGCTTTTAACACGTTTAGAAAAACAGAACAAAAAATTGTCCTTTTTTAAGTTAACTTAGTTTAGTCAAAAGTTCTCCTCACTCACAGTTTTAGTACTGCACCTCATATCAGTTTGCTCACCGTTGTTGTAGTATAATTGTCATATATAGCCATGTATTAATGTTTGTTGTCCATCTTTGAAAATTCAACAGTTTTATGATACTAAACAAATGATTAATACCAAAAATGATTAAGTATCAAAACATTCTGTATGATTGAATACTTAAGTAGTGAGTCTTAGCATCTGTGAGCCAATAAGCATGCTTGTTCCAAAATCTAGATGTCTGATTGGCTGTCTAAATTGTGTATTGCATCATGTTATTACTGTCAGCGCTTCTTAATTAGTCTGGCCTTGATTAGTCCTTACTGTCTGTAAATACACAAATGTCCAGCACTTTTCACTCATTTCTAATTTAAGCCACACCCACTTTCAGTTGGTCATTTTAAAGAAGGCATCGAGAAAGTATTGTTCAGGAATCTATTTAAAATGTATTGAAATGAATCTTTGTAAAAAAGTATTAAGTATTGCTTTAAAAAAATAATAATAGCTGCATCCAGCACTCATGTCTCAAACACACACACACACATACCATATACAGTATGCAGAACTTTGAACACCCCCAGTCAAGTGATGTTTTGTTAACCTCCTAAGCAAAAATTAGTTAACACATCCACTATGGAGAACACACTTAAATATGGCATTTTCTGTACTGCAGTTTCTGTTGCTGGTGTACAAAATGTGCCATAACTTTTGCACAGGCCACATTTTATGCGTTATTTTTCCCAATATGCTAAATTCAGCAAATAAACAGTAATTGTGCATTAAAGTGTACAGAAATATGTTTTCTGTAGAGGATTTTGTACTTTTCCGTACGACTGTACACACTGACATGCCCGTGCAAACACACAAAAACACTGTGTGTTTGTTGTGTGTAGTTAAGCCGTCATAGACTGGAATGGAATCGTGAGACTACAGACGACAACCATTCAACAAGCTGTGGTAGCGTCTGTAAGAGCTGTAAGTCTTTATCTGTGTGTGTTTGTGTGTGTATGTTTGTGTGTGAGAGCAGAGATTATAGATAAGGTGCGCTCTCCTCCTCCTCTGTGCCGACCAAGTGTATCAGTGGACGAGGCTCCACTAGAAGTGATCCAGTTAATGAAGCAGGCCTGGAGTGAAGACCCTGACCTCAGGCCCACATTTGAGGAGATTTTTAGACAGGTACATACAGACAGCCACATTTATCTTTGTACATTGTTTTTATAGCCATGTCCCATACGTAAGTATCTACATGTAAGAATAATGTCCCATATGTATTACATATATAAGTATCTCTATGTAAGACTAATTCCCCACATGTATGATATATCATCACTGTATTTTTGTACATCATTTGAACACAACATATATATATATACACACACACATATGGAAGTACTAACTCCAACTGTTTCTTCTTTCTGGCCCGCTGTGTGTCTCTGCGATGCTGTAGTTTAAGACCATAAGTAAAGGAAAAAAGACGAACATCATAGACTCCATGCTGCGCATGCTGGAGCAGTACTCCACTAACCTGGAGGATCTGATCCGTGAGAGGACGGAGGAGTTGGAAGTGGAGAGGCAGAAAACTGATGCCCTGGTGGCCCAGATGCTGCCCAAGTGAGTCTCTCACACATACACACATTTCCTCAGAACAACAGACATGCGGTCACATGCAAATGTTTGCGTGGCCCTGGTCAAATAAACCTGTTTTGTTGCTTTTCTATGGGAAATTAAGTTAACACATCCTCTACAGGGTATACACTATGATTGTAATTATGATTGATACTCCTGTCTTCACCCAGGTCAGTGGCTCTGGCTCTAAAGACGGGGAAGCCTGTGGTGCCGGAGCATTTCTCTGAGGCCACGCTTTACTTTAGTGACATTGTGGGCTTTACCACCATTTCAGCCCTGAGCGATCCCATCGAAGTGGTGGACCTGCTCAATGACCTCTACACACTGTTCGACTCCATCATTGGCATGCACGACGTCTACAAGGTACGTACCAGTCACCTAATCAGAGCTGGCTCTTGGTGTCCTGAACACATTTCATCAGCAAAGCCCTTTAAATAGGACAGTGATCATTACTACGCAGAAAATGTTAACGCTTCAGGTGATAAACAATTTGCGCTTCCTCTACTGCAAGGCTAGGCACACATTACCACTACAGTAGCATCTTCTATAACAGCATATGGTGCATGAGCAGCTGGACTTAAGCTGACTATTTATTCAGTCTTGTTTTCTATTGGATATATTTTGAAAGTAATGAAAATGCTTCAAAATTAAGGCTAATAATGAAACATAAATATTATTATTTTTAAGGCTTATTTTGAGAATAGAGTACAAAAGGTGTTTTTGAGTATGGGTATGTGTGGTTGAATATAGTGACATCCTGATCCTAGTTTTTTGTCCCAGTCCCAATTCAAGTCCTTCAGTGATGAGTGTGGGCCAAGACCGAATCCAGTTCAATATTTGTATTTTAATGTGAAATACAGCCGCATGCTGCACATTTTATGTTTGTTAAAGCTAATAAAACCAATCCAGTTTAAAGCAAGATACCGTCGATGTCAGAACAAAACCTTCATTTTCATTTTTTTATTTTATTTTTTATATAATTAAAATTTATTGCCATTACCACCAACCAGCCACTTCACTGAGTACACCTCCATGTACCTAAACTTTGTGCATTTTATCATCTGCTCCACTTACCACAGAGGTGCACCTCGTAGTTCTACAGTTACAGACTATAGTTCATCTGTTTATCTGCCTGTTTATCATTAGTCAGGACCCCAACAAGACCACAACAGAGCAGGTATGATTTGGATGGTAGATCATTCTCAGCTCTGCAGTAACACTGATGTGGTGGTAGTGTGTGTTGCGCTGGTCTGAGTGGATCAGGAGTTTTTAAACACCTCAGTGTCTCTGCTGGACTAAGAAAAGTCCACCAACCAAAAATAACCAACCAGCAGTGTCCTGTGGGCAGCATCCTGCTAATGATGAAGGACTAGAGGATGACCAACACAAACTGTGCAGCAGCAGATGAGCTACTGTCTCTGGCTGTACATCTACAAGGTGGACCAAAAAGATAGGAGTGTCTAATAGAGTGGACAGTGAGCGGACACTCTAAATGAGTGTCACACATTAACACATCCACCGCCCAAATAATACCTGCTCTGTGGTGGTCCTATGGGGGTCCTGACCATCGAGGAACAAGGTAAAAGGGGGCTAACAAAGTATGCAAAGAAACAGAGGAACTACAGTCTGTATTGTAGAACTACAAAGTGGAGCTGATAAAATGGACAATAAGTGTAACAACAAGAAGTGGTACTTAATGAAGAGGCCAGTTGGTGTATATTATAAATGAACGGACCAATAGAAATGGCCCAAAATGACTTAAAATAAAATTATTTGCATTGCTTTGCATCAATAACAATAGCAAGTTGTGGATAATGTCCCTTTATGTCATGTAAATAGAGGGCAGTAGTTTAAAAAGGCCTTAACAAAGGATCAGAATTTAATTGGGCTTAATGATCAATTTAAATATGCCTTATTGTGTGTTTTTGACCTGTCACCTGTGTTTGGGCTGACAGGTGGAGACCATCGGTGATGCGTACATGGTAGCGTCTGGAGTCCCCAGCCGCAATGGCAACCGGCACGCCGCAGAGATGGCCAACATGTCTCTGGACATCCTGTCCTGCATCGGGACATTCAAGATGAGACACATGCCCACCGTTAAAGTCAGAATCCGCATTGGACTCCACTCTGGTTAGTCGCTATCTCTCTTTCTCTCAGCCACATAGCATCATAAAAATAACCTGAAGCCTCACATAACATGATAAAAAGAATGCTCAAGTTTGCCATCAGGCTGGTAAAACTTTCATGCAAAAAAAAAAAAAATCACCCCCATAAATGGCCAGGGTGGGCCCAAAGTTTTATTACACACTTCTGTAACTTAAGAATAGTTCAACCAGTTTGCACTGAAGTCCCTGTAGTTACTAAATAATAAGACTTAGTATGTAATAAGCCCTGAGATTTTAATGGATTAATGTTGAATTTACTGAAAAATGTTAAGTGGTTTTGCAGATCTGTGTTAAGTAGCTCATTAGATACTTGATTAAGTAACATGTACTTAATGAATTCAAGTAAATCACACACAAGAGATCTGAGTAAATTCTAATTAATTGGACTGATACGTTTTTTAATATGGTTATGTTTGACTAGTGAAAGTGGAAGAAAGAAGTTATTGATGTTAGATAGAATTACATACTTTAGTTAAGTAGTCATACCCAGCCATCAGAGAAACATGCTAAGCAGCAGGCTTACATAGTAACTCGCTGTTACAGCCACCAAAAATAGAGGGTATGCCTTGACGTCACTGTCCTGCCAGAATAGACCCCCTCAATTGGACTGAGTGGCAAGACATTCTGCAACAAGGCTGCGTTTATTAGGGGAAATGGTGAAACCGGCAATGAAACAAGTGATTTTCTGCATGAATTAAAGGCAGTTGGGTCTTTTTGCCACTCAGTGGGTGTGACTGCTGTAACTCCTGACAACTGTCACGTGCATATCCTCTATTAGGCTAAGCATTTAATCAAGGAGTACAAAACAGATGCACATGCAAAGGAAGGTAAACTGGGGAAAAACAACACAAAGATGGAGAGTAAAACAAGTAAAACCATATGCAAATAAATGACAACTCACTGTATTTCACTAAAACAACACAACTGTCTCAGTTTCACTCAGGTCGTTGCTGCTGGGCCATTGTTACGGTATCCTAGGCGGTTGCTAAGGTGTTGCTAGGCTGTTACTATGGTATCCCAGGTGGTAGTTAAGGTCTTGCTATGCCATTGCTATGGTATCCCAGGTGGTTGCTAAGGTGTTACTATGGTATCCCAGGTGGTTGCTAAGGTGTTGCTGGGCCATTGCTATGTTATCACAGAAGGTTGCTAATATGTGTGTACATACAGTATGTGTGCTAGTTTGTATGTGAATATGTATTGTTCATGAGGGAGTGTGATGCAGTATGTATGAAGTGTGAGAGATGCCCTTTGCGACAGTTTATGGCAGCTGGATTTGAACTTTCTTAAAATTCTGCCATTCATTTCCTACAGAGAAATGGCCAATTTAATTCATTTAATGTCACACCAACTTAATAATGTGCAAATAAATACATTTTCCATTTTAGTAAGGCGCCCCCTTTCCAGTTGGCAAAACCTCACTATGTCACATGATGTCACATTTGCTTTATTATTTTTCTATGATTTACTCTGAGGTGAAATCAAAAATACTTCTTGAAAACAAATGCTGAAGTTTTTTGTATACCCTATAAATAAGTTATATATTACTTTACATATATATATATATATATATATATATATATATATATATTACAAGTTGTACAATCATATATAACATATTAGAGTGTAAAAGTATAGTTCAATCTTTTAAACTGAAATACACATTTGAAGAAAATAGAATATAATATTTTACTTTTTTACTTTACTGTCCCAACACTTTAACTTCCTACCTCATATATATATATATATATATATATATATATATATATATATATATACAAAAAAAAATTCCAACCCTCCCTTTTTTTCCCCCTCTTTATCCTCTCATGGTTGTGCATTCAAAGTGCGATGCCAATCCCAGACAACATCCAATTAACTGCCTCATCCAATTACACACCAGCCCCCTACCCCCACACTCATTAGCACAAACCCATTAACACAGAGCATGCTGTACTGCAGTGAAGCACTGCCATGGACCATACTGTGGTCATATTGTAATCAAAATGTTATCAATATTATTTCATCACACTAATAAAAAGCTATATATAGGCAAATATTACCATTTTGTACTGATAGATGATTTGATGCATGTGTATGTAACAGGTCCAGTGGTAGCTGGAGTGGTGGGCTTGACTATGCCTCGGTACTGTCTGTTTGGGGACACAGTAAACACAGCATCTCGAATGGAATCCACAGGGTTGTGTAAGTACCCCAAACCATGAAGCTTTACTTTATAAACTGGGTTGAAAACATTGTCGTGTAAAAATGAATTATGAGTGTTTTTGGTGCATAACTCCACACAAATGGGCCTAATAAAATGCAAGATAATTGTAAGATATGAGCCTTTTAATAATTGTTTTGTTATATATATCTTACAATAGGTTATACACAACTTATCCGACTGGTATACAACTTATAAGTTGCACAGTTATATATAACTTATTAGAGAATGAAAGTATATGTAGTCATATGCAAACGTTTGAGCACCTCTGGCCAAATGACAGGTTTCTGTTGATTTTCTAAGTGTTTTCTAAGTGATTTGTTTGCTGAATTTAACATATTGAAAAAACCTATATAAAATGTGGCCTGTGCAAAGGTTAATGGCACATTTTAAATTTTGGCACTATGTTAAACTCTACAAATAAATAGAATTATTATAACTTATTTTAACTTAGAAAATCAGTGAAAGATATAAATAGATGAGGGTGTTCAAACTTTTTCATACGCATATTGTAAATGTGTTAGTAAGTGTTGGTGAAGGTGGGTCTTGCTGTGCAGGTTCATGTTAGCGACGACAGGCTCAGAGAGCTTAAGTTCCAGAGCATTCTGTAAGCTCTTAAGACTATCAGCCGAATTAGAAAGAAAATTCTGCTTTAATGGTAGTGTCCTCCCAGAACTGTTTCTCTCTAACCTTTAATCAGGCCCAGGGTCACAGAGACACACACTTACACACACTCATATATATTCATTAAAATTTATGCTAAATTATGCTATGCTAAAATCCATGACAAAATAACAATAAATAGAACCATTTGTATTATTTGTATTATTATTGCAACAACAGTAACACATATACAGGGTTGAGCAAAATACTTTGAAGTAGTGATGGCTGAACACTATTCTGAATGTATTCAGCATCTTCTTCTATTACAATACATAGATTTAGAATGCATTTACATTAGATTACACAGGAAACCTTGTGCTGTAATTTTTATTTCTTTCACACTGTTCCTCAGTGTTTCTGGTTGGCCGTTTTCTTCACGTAACACTTCTGTTATTACGTTTTGCGAAAAATTTAATTATTCAAATGGACACAAAAATCATAATCCCACTGCCCTGTCATGGCCTAAACCAACAATTTCCCATATGCCAATAACTAAGTTTTGCTAGTTTGACAATAAAGTGAATAGCCGTGTTATTTTCAGTTAATAACATGTATTTTGCCCTGGAACGCATGCACAGTTCAGTAGTCTACTCAGGCTTTAGCAAAACTCCAGTCTTTGTAAAGTAATAGTTAATAAACAAGCATTGATGGTGTTTCTTTTAAAGGGGGTTTATATTTTTTTAAAATTAGCAGGTAAGCACTCTAAAGGTAGGTGAAAGGTAACTGTATTCTGCACGCTGCCTTTACAAAATGTAACTTGGACTGAATACAGATACCTAGTTTCTGTACTCTGAATAAATTCTCCAAATATTTGTATTCCATTACAATTTAAAGAAAGCAGTCAACATTTAATTGTGCATGATTATTAAGTATGGCAGAACAGTTCAGGTGGGGATATAACTCTGCTGAGCTGCAAAACTCACGTACAACCTCATCTCCAGCAAGATGGATAAAAATGTAGCCTATTTCTAGCTAACAACTGCTACCTTCCAGCCAACTAGCATGCAAAGATAATACTAACCAGTCAGTAAAACTCCAGTCACTTCTTTCCCAAAAGTACTGAGTGTACACTTTTACTTTTTTACACTTTTCGTCTTAAAACCAAATGTACTGCTTCGTCCTTCTTATTTTAGACCAAGAGAAGAACAGCGCCTTACAGACAGTTTAATGTGCTGACGGATGCTGGATGTACTAAGAAGTTCCACTGCAGCTTTATGAGTTATTCAGTTGTGAAAGTGCATTAGTTTTTTTCTTAAATTTGCAAAAAAAAGAAAACAAAAAGCCATATTTAAGTACAGTATATACAGTATATATATATATATATATATATATATATATATATATATATATATATATATATATGTATATATACTTATTTCCATTTAATGATCAACAAATTTGACCAGGGGTATTCAAACTTTTGCACATTATATGATATATGATCTGATAATTCATGTTTACATGTAGTCGAGGTAAATAACAACGTAAAAAAAGGTCAGTTCTGATTACTTTTTGGTACTTTTACTTTAATCATTACTTTACTGCTGTAACAATATGTTTAATTGGGTATGACTTTAGGCTACTCCATCTGTCTCTGCTTATGACATCTATGTCCAGGAAGCCAGCAGATCAGTAAACAAGCATGCATATAAGCAAAGGTTTAAGGCAAGAAAGCAAAATGACTAATCATATATCATATGTTATATATATAAAGATTCATTATATATTACACACAGTAATTATAATCGAAGTGTTGCTAGCTGAGCGCCTCTGTAGTCCAGATTGGATAGGAAGTTTCCAACATGTCACTCGGGGAGTGGTGGTTATGATTACAGATATGTGCAGGTGTAGATTGGGGTTGGTTAAGGGTGGGATTTGTTTGTATTTGTTTGTAAGAGCAGGTTATGCAGTTATGCAGACTATAGATTGTCCATTTTTGGTTCTGTCAGCTAAACATGTCAGAGCCAGAATGGATCCTGTAGGCAGTACATATAAAGACAGCGATGCCACCTAGTGGACAAATAGCAGAATAAATATCTCCACGACAACAAAACAACCATTTTAATTACCATCTAAAACAATCAGTGAACCTACATGTCTTGTCAGTTTTTATATGTAATGGTGATGATGGTAAAATTGAGGCATACATTTTTATATATCATGAGAATTTTCTGAAATAAGTTTGTTGCTTTGAAGCAACATTGGCGACGGTGGAGAGGATTTAGCTTGTATTAGAGAACATTGCAGTTATTGTGTAGTTTTTCATTTTGAATGATTTTTTATTTAGAATAATTTTGTTTTTCAATGTTTTTCCTTATTTTGGAAATCTAGCTTATAAAATATTTAATATACATATAGTAAATTATGTCTTGTAGCAGTCGACATCCAGTATGATAACAAGTATCATTAGTTTTGTTTAGGAAATGAAAGGCAATTCTTATTAGTTGAAAATGACTTCATTCTTTTAGCAAAGTCTGTATATTACAAAGTAAATTGTGATGTTTGGGAAACCGAAGCATTACTCCAAAAAGTTTTATCATAGCTTTTATAGATCACATTATGTAGTTATTCAGTTTCATTCCAAATATTCAGTTAGAGAATCCTATTTAGTTTTGTATTTAACTGTATCATTTCTTTCCATTGTTGCACAATGTTGCCTCAAGGCAGCGTACCCCAAAAAGACCCCTGCATGTATTACTTCTGAAATTTTGTTTTCGATTTTAGTTTTCAGGTCCATTTTATGCATGAATCTAAGATTTTTTTTAAACATTGCTCTCCCAATGTGTGCAATAGAGGGCTACGAATATGATGTTTGAATGAAAGCATGAAGTTCTTAATCTGATGGAGTCTTGGTAAATTTTTATTTGTTGTTTTGTTTGTTTCACCTGCAGCTTACAGAATACATGTAAACATCAGCACAGTCCAGATTCTCAGAGATCTAAAGCTTGGATATAAAATAGACTCGAGGGGCAAGACGGAACTTAAGGTAGATTATAAATACACACCCATGCAAAACATTCATCTATCTACATAAAGGTATATCAGCAAAAAGACTGTTATACACATAATATGACCACAATCTCTCTCATGTCCAGGGTAAAGGAGTGGAGGAGACATTCTGGTTGGTCGGTAAAGAAGGATTTAATAAGCCTCTGCCTATCCCCCCAGACCTTACACCAGGGTAAGAGACCAGTGCAGCCCCTCCCCCCTCTGTTATCATCAGTTCACTCTTTATCAATACAGGACAACATGTTACCAAACAACTTTCTGCATCACCATGTTCATAACTCACTGTGATGTCGTGCAGGGCGAGTAACCACGGCATCAGCCTGGAGGAAATTCCCGAAGACAGAAAGCAGAGGTTCCTGGACCGGCAAAAGAGGATGGGTTAAAAAGAAAACTTTAGGTATTTGATATTTAATTAATTACTTTCATTTGTGTAGGCATTTGTTTTTTTAACAGTTCATAAATCAGAATCAGTCTGACCAGTATCTAACTGGCAAAAGAGTACTATGCTAATACTAGTAAAAAATAATGGCTTTTAAAAAATATCACATTCGGTAGGGAGATATAGAGATCCAAAATTGCACCAATGCACTTTTTTCAGATTTTCAGCCATGGAATAGCAAACTGATTCACCAAAGAATTATCCCCAAAACAATTCATGCAAAGGTTTTACATGCAAAAGTTTACTTTTTTTCAAGGCAATCTTGACAAAAATTAAGACAAGACCTGCATTTCAAGCTGATCATCTTATTGTAACAGTAACACTGTGGTAACCATCATAAAATCCTCATTACAATGCAGAAAATGGTTACTCACATGTGCCTCATCATCAGAAGTTGGCAAGGGAGCTACCTTGCCAGCTAGATACCTTACCTCCATTCGCCTTCTTTGCTCTGGAGGAATGGGTAAAAAAACTTTCATGTTTTGTGCTAAATAAAGATAGAATCACTGTTTTGTTTATGTAAAGTGAGATAGGAGTCATTCTAATGCTAACTCGGTTGTATTGGTTTGCTTATTAATCAGGATAGCTGTCAGGATTGGTTGACACTGCAGGGATTCCCAATGGCGTTATGCTGTATTTGCATAATGTATGCTGGGTATTGTGGCGAAATGTTGATTAATGAAAATATGAAAAAGATATAAAATTGTGAGCTCGTAAAAAGGCTATAAAACACTGCTCTGATAATACTACGTAACATATTACGCTCTAGTTTTAGCCTGGAATGCCCCTTTCAACTCAACACCTTATTATCAAAGCCTTCTTGAGTGGAACTACTAATCTCTGCAAGTCTGCGGCCCTCCACGAATAGAGTTTAGACCCCTCTGTTCTAATGTGCCTCCACGTTTCTTTGTTGCCCTCCAGGTGGTGATGCCCACGTTCCCCCACTGGCCTCTGTCAGACCGTCAGCAGTCAGCGAAAGATTTAGGGCAATTTAGAAAGTGTTGGGAGGTAAGACGGGTGGCCTTAGAGGTATTTGTACCAATACCTCTACTATCCTTAACAGCCTCCTCAAAAATGCACAAATGGAGTTAAGGGTTCACCTAACAAGGACATCAAGACCCTCCCTCAGTGTCTGAGAAAGCCTCTCAGAGTGAACCAGCCGCAGTCTGCCATGGATGACCACCACAGACGTTACACACCGGCTAGAGATTATACTGCAACGTAGCCAATATGATATTTAACGCCTGTCAAATGCTATCTTAAACCCTACCTAACACTGTAGTCAGTGTTTAAAGTCAGAGTCAAGAGGATGAAGGAAATAGAAAGATTTGATCCTGTTTACTTGCAAATTACAACATGCAGTTTACCATGGAGGTTTATTTACTCTGTAGATGTTTTAAAGTCTCTTTTTGTAAAAAAAATAAATAAATAAGAAAGGAAAGCAAAAAAATACAGAAAACCAACAGAAAATAATAAAAAGATGCTTATTTGTTAGGCATCCACAACTGACCATGTATAATTCTGATTTCCAAAGGATTTATCACAAATAATACAACTACTAGAAAACATATTTAAACGGTTCTTTAAATCACTTAGAATTAAAAAAAAATAGTAGGAGTTTCTCTCATTCGTACTCGTTTTCTAAATGTTTTGTTCTTTATGGAGATTTAGCATTACACAGTCTGGCTGAAGTCCTCCAGCTGGAGCTAGGTTTGGTCATATGCACCTATGTTCTGGATAACATACATTTGTCAGAAGACCAAGCAAACAGGGCAAGATTCAGGTTCTTCTTTTAGCTCTCTAAATGCTGCTTTAGTACAGGGACGTGCAGCACACTATCCAAAAATGAGTCTTTGTCATTTTGCCCAGTAAATTACAGCACCGTTGTATTATTGAAGAGAATCCAGTGTTGTCGGATGGGTTCACCAAAGACATTTTTATCGACCAACAATGTATTTTTTAAGAAGATGTATGTGAACGAACTGCGACGTAGTCACTTTTTCTTATCACGAGGAAAGAACAACCGTATTGTACATCCCCTCCACAATGATGAGGCACAGTATGGTTTCAAAGGAGCTGGTGAAACTATACAGACACACCTGATCAAAAACAGCTCTCCATGACTTCAGGCAGCATCTCCTGCCACCTGTCTGTGCTCCTGTGCAGTGAAGTACACTAATCCTTCAGGTCCTTGAGCAGGCATTGTTTTGTATTACAAAAAACTGAGCTATGTTGCTGTAGAATATAGCTACTGTTCAAACTGTACATCTGCTGCAATTGTGTAAATAAAAATGGGTTTTAGTGAAGTGGACTGCTGTGACTTCCTACATGTTGTAAAGCATAATATGTGTCCTCTTAGAATCTTCAGTGATTTGGTCACTCACTTGTTAATGGGAAGCTTGATGTATTGTAAAAATCACTGGTTTAAGGTCAGAAAAGATCAATACACAAACATACACATTCACAGTTTGCACTCGTTCTGCTTGTGTGGACATCTGATGAGTCGAGTGATACAAAAAAGTAACCCTTTGAAATTGGCAATACTTTCAGAAGAGTTACATTAGCCATTTAATATCACTGTATAATAGCAGGGGTACCTAAACTTTTTTGTCTTGGGGGGTACAAAGTGCATCATCTATGGCTGGCCAAGATCCAAAAACACAAAAAATATAGATAGGTTTCAAATCAAGCTTGTAAACATGTATTTTATAACATTAAATTATATTTAGCTACCAAAAACTTCAAAAAAATGACAGTTGTGGTCTAAAAAGGTTTGAATACACCAGGTCAAATTACACATTTTGTTGATTTTCTGAGTGAAAAAAAGTTCATACATCTTCTGCAGAGAACAATCTGAATTTTTTCCTGCCAATTTTGTTGCGGTTTTATCTATTGAAAACAAAAATGAAATGTGCCATAACTTTTGCACTGTTTTATTTCATCCTGTATGTTAAATTCAGCTAATATGTCATAATTGTGCACTAAGATGTACGGAGCCCCGCTGTTGACATCCTATATAAATAAAAATAATGTGTGGCCACGACTTAGTAAGGCGTGATCTCGTTCCCACACCTTACTAAGTTGTGGCCATGACTTAATTACCTCATTCCCACGTCTTAATAAGTTGTGGCCACACATTAGCATTATTCTAATTTGTATGGAATGTCACCAGCAGGGCTCTGTAAAGATGTGCAGAAGTGTTTGTGTTAACTTTTCACTCAGATCATTTGACTGGGGCGCCCAAACTTTTGCATATGATTGTAGTATAAAAACTATGGGGTGAGCGGGTGGGGGTTCTGGCAGGGGCATATCAAATGTCCACACTTTCGGCAAGTCCTGGTATATAGCAATCATTTTAAGGATATTTACAGCAGTACAATTCTCATGTATGTGGATGCATTACACACTTATTACTATGTATTACTACACATATGTGATCTTACATTGACTTCACTTGTCCCAGGATAAAAGAAGCCAAACCTCAAAGACTTTTAATCAGTATCTGTGTCAAATAAATGCATGACTACCAGCAGAAGGCTCCTAAAAGGCAAGCACAGCACTGAGAGAGAGAAAGAGAGAGAGAGAAGGGGTCAAATTTCACTTTTCATTAGCCATTCAATCTAATTCTCGGATTCAGCGTCAGGTGAGGACTCCACATCAGACAGAAAAGAGATACTACTTCTATTTCTACCACTCCGACCTGCTAACTGCTAACACGAGTCTGCAATACATGGTTTTAAACACAATCTAACTTCTTTTTCATAACTCCAGCCTCACGTGAGCGACTGCTAGTGGGCCAAACCCGAGTCTGAGCTGAATTGTAATTTGCCTAGAAGTAGGGCAGGATAGCTCCGCCCACTCGCCCCAAAACGAGCCCGCTGATTGGACGGAGGCGGGTTCTCATTGGTGGGAGACCGAAACGTGAGCAATCTGCGATTGGTCTTCGCTTTGCTCTATCAGAGCGCGAGTAGCGGCTTCAACAAGCCAAAACCACAGTCAACACATTAAAGCAAGTGATGGTGGGAAAACGCAGCCCGAGTCAGTGAGTGAACAAACAGCGCTGCTCGCTCTGAATCTCTCCGGCTGAAAACTCCAGGAGCTGAAGGCGCCGGAGCGATGAACTGGGCTGCTTGTAGTCGGGCGTCCGGCTGATACGCAGATATGACTCTTCTCGGTTAAAGCCAAGACAATGCTGAACATATGCTCGGACTTCCCGGGATCACGGTAACCGAAGGTAAAAGAAAAACTCCAAATGAATAGTGTGCATCAAAACAGGAGGTGTCAGAAATGTTGGTGGTGATTGATGATGGTCAAATATGTCGTTACCGCTGTCATTATTATTATTATTATTATTATTATTATTATTTTCATTATCATTATTATTATTAAGTCTGATTTGTGCATGTTTTTTCGAGCGCACCGTTCCTAAAAAACTTCCTTCACCTGACACGCATTCATATGCAAATCGCCACTGCGCTCATTTCCTGTCGCTTTTCACGTGCCGACGATACCGGGCCTCTTCCATGGTCACGCGAGCGCTTCAACTGTAAACCCCGGTGCTCGTGTCTCGTTCGTCGGGGCGGCTCGAGCTTCACGCGCACGGTTCTGGTAGCGAAGGCGGGGCCAGCCCAAATAATAAACGCGGGGAGGGAGGGAGGGAGAGAAAGGGGGGGGGGCGGTGGAAGAAGAACACAACAAACCCTCGAAATGTAGGCCACCGCGCGTGACCCAATTCCTCACGCGCACACACATAGCGAGTGTGAATGTGGAGCACAGCACCCCCACCTCCCTCCTCCCTCCTCGCGCCCAGGCACGGATCCAGTTCTCGTGTGTTTTTTCTCTCTGTGTGCCACAGCGATGTGGAGAGGTTTGTACGTGCAAGCGAAAAAAAACAACCAAGATGAAGTTAGCTTCTTGTTCGAATTTCCCGTTCCACCTTAAATGGTGCGGCCGTTACATTTTGGCGCCACAGGCCTCGGCATGTAACTGCCGCACCATTTAAGGTGGAACGGAAAATTCGAATAAGAAACAGGCGAACTGACTTCAGCCTTGAAAATACAAGACAAACGCGCTTTTGTTGTCACTTAACGTGTCCATTAAGTTCGCAGCAAGCAAGCAACAGTTTGAGCGGTTACGACAGCGCCCCCCCACCTCCCTCCTCCTCCTCCTCCTCCTCCAGCAAACCACAGTCTCCACAGTGTGCCAGTAAAAGATGTCAGGTGACCTCGTTTTCCGCCCCAGCAGCACCACAACCCGCTACGATCAACAAACAGGAAACGTTTTAAACTGCTAGTCACGTCACGTTTATGTCACTCAAAACCCAGCGCTCGTCTCAACTTCACATACCCAGAACCTGAACTCTGATCAGCTTGAGGGAGGAGGGAGGAGGTGGGGGCTTCATGTGTAACTAAGATGTAGGTTTTAGGAAAGATTCCACTTGGTTTGTGGAAGAAGAACAACCACCTTCACTCTTTCAGTGGCCCAATCTGTTCATAGTAAATGGACATTTGATTCATGCTTGCAATATATTAAGTTTATTGTGTTGGGAAAATGTCAAACCGGGTGGCATTTATTTTAAGCAAGACTCCAGTTTCCTTTTTGGCATAGTATTTTGTAAGAGGGCGTGTGGTGATACCGTTTGAGCGGATTCTTTACAGACTGTTGCAGGTTTGCATTCAGAATCCATCTTAATGTTCCTTTCAGTACATTCAGGGAACACAAGCTCACAGACAAAACAGCCTCAGTAGCCTTAGAGCAGAATGGTCACCGTCTACCATCAGTTGTGCTGAAAGAGTTTCCCTGCAGAATCATTTTGTTAACAGGCCCATATCTGACGCTTCTCTTCCGCTGGGGGCCAACTGACGACATTCTGACCCTCTCTTTATTCCTTATGATTAACCAGGTTACTTTCTTACTTAGAAGGGTATATGTAAATGAGCCACATTTTATTGGCAGCCCTGGATTGTGCCTTGTTTGAAGAGCAGTTCAGCCTAAAACACCTCTTATAAAAGTGTGAATGTTCTGTTTTTGTGACATCATGAAAACAGTGAACTCAAAATGGGCTGTTTTTGCAGCTGAACAATACATTTTACAATTTGAGCAGTGTTCACATACTGCATTAAGCTTATTTTAAAAAAAGTGAGGACATGGGCCTTTTTAACCATTTTCTGAAGTAACCGAAAGAACTTTATTGAAGTTTACCAGTGGTTGAAGTCTTCAGATATTTTTGAGGCCACTGTACAGACTCTAGACTTAATTACTACAAGTTAGTGGTTAAACTTAGAGTAGTCTAGTTGAACTGAAACCAAAACTTGTGACAGAAAAGTACCGTATCATTATTAACTGCTGGGAAAGCTTCTCTCTGGCTAGTTTCTGTACCCGCAGAGAAACGGGAGCGTGTTTTGCAGGTATCTGACACGTTTGATCACAGCGTACTTGCCAGGCCGCTCCCAGGCTTTTGTGGAGGGGTATCGGGTGTTCTTGGTTCTGGCTTTAGCCAGTGTGCTCAGAAGAGGAGATTGTGGAGAGTGTATGTGTGTGTGACAGATATTTTGTTTTGGCCCCCCTGGCGAAGGCGATCAGTCTGAGGCTGACCTACTTTTCTCCTTCACTTCATACCTGCAGAGCTATTTATACCCATGACACACATGCACATGCACACACACACACACACACACACAGACTCTCTCCCTCCCTCAGTGGTGTTATTATGCTGCCAGTCTGGCCCTAGGGAGACCTAACCCACCCAGCCACCCACGCTCTCAAAGCCCAAAGCCCAACCCTCGGAGGCCCCCTCTCTAAATACACTGTAAAAGGAGTTTTGGGGGCAGTGAGCAGTCAATTGTCATTCGATACTCCTCTTTACCCTCAGCTACCCAGACACCGGAAGTTTCTGTAGCCCCCTTTTCTCTCCTCAGATCACATTTGTCCTGACATCAGCATGACAGTCGGCTTATTGTGCGCAGGCTGGTTCACACAAGTTTGAAAAAAAGAAGGCAGAGCTGTATGGCTTAAATAGAGCAAGGGGCTCTGATAGCTGTAGAGCAGGGATCATCAAATAGCAGCCTGCGGGCCAAATCCTGCCTGTGAGCAGGTTTTTTCTCGCCCCAGCCCACCCTCCAAAACCGTTTTTTTTTTGTTCTGGTAAATATATGTGACAGGGTACACCGAACTAGCATCAACTGGAGATGTTCATTCTGACTTATTTAAGTGTCTGTAAGAGTTACCTGTTAAATAGAGCAACAAACAAACAAAAAACCTTTGCCAAAAATAAAGTAGGGCTGTATGTTTGCAACACACAGTACATTTGAAATGTGTTTATTCCAAATTAACTGAGGTAAATCAGATACATGTAAATTACCCTAGAAATGTTGATGATCAAACAGTATCTACAGTCCTTTTGTTGTTCTTGTTTTGGCTAATAGAAGACAGAAGCATCACCCTGCAGTTCTGCAAATGGATGACAGAGGGCGCCTCCCTCCAGGTGGGGGTGGTGAGCCCAAACTCCCCGCCTCAACTATCCAACTGGAACACGACCATGAGGTCAGGCAGGTCCGGAGGGAACCAGGTGACCCGGTGACTTCCACGCATGTCCGAAAGGAAGATATCTCGGATGTGCCGCGCAAGGTGCCTCGCTTCCAATATGTGGACTTCCCCTCGCTGCACCAGTGCATCAAGCAGCTATCTGTGCCACCCCTGGAGGGCTGGCTGACCTCATGCCCTCTGGGGAGAGTGCCATCCTGTCAGCCCAGCAGCCCCAAGGAGAAGGTGCCCAAGTTTAAGTACGTTGACTACCCTTCACTGTACCATTGCATTCAGCAGCTGTCCGTACCTCCATTGGAGATCTGGAGCTCGGGCTTGACAAGGCCTGGCTCCGGGGAGTCGCAGGGGGGTATGGCAGGGCAGAACCCCTCTCAGATGCCTGGACACAGCAGTGAGAACCACCAAGAGGAGAGGGGGAATGGAACAAAGCAGCAAAGCAAGAAGTCCAACAGTCCCAGTCCCAGAGTCCCAAACCCAGAACTAGCAGCCTCGCAGCACCCAAGACACATGTTGCCAGGTCTATCTTCAGAGACAGGAAAGAACCGTCATACAGATCTAGGGGACCTGTCCCAGAAACCCTCTGGTTCTAGGTCTGAGTCAAGTTCTAGATTAGAAGCAGACAGAGTGGCAACAAGGAACGAGAGGGATGTCAGGCCATCTGTTATCAGTATGGTACGCACTGAACGCCAGAAACGGCATCTAGAACCAGTGGGATGGTTAAAGCGGGAAAAATGTCTGGATTCTGTAGAGCAGGTAGAGCAGAAATCGGTTCCAGAGTCAGTCTGTCCTTTCTGCCAGCAAATGTTCACAGATCCTGAGGAGCTTCGGACTCACCAGCGCAGCCACAAAGACAAGGTGAACACATCTGGTTAAGATCTCCAACATACTGTATGTAATCGTGTTACCACTGGAGTTTGCTGTAGTTTACTGTATATGACATGCTGCAGACACTTACTGGGGGAAAGAACTGCTGAAATTTAATCTAATGCAGTCCTGTTTGACATTCACAGAGACCACACTGATGGCTTGACTCAGAAACTCATCGAAGATATCATTGGTCACCTGTTCAGTGACAGTCTGGCCTTGACCTATCAGCTTATTCCACATCTACAGGAAGCTCCTGACTGACAAGGCCTTCTCTGCTAAGATTGGTCATTCTGTCCGTTACAGTGTTAGCACTGGGGAGACCAAAAATTGAAGACATACTAAACATACAATAACCTGTAGATCCTTGGGAAAACATAAACTCCAGTTAACATGAACGTGAAATGTTAACAGGCCTAATAACTGGTTGCGAGAAAATGGACAGACAAGAGGACACACACTCATACATACAAGCCCCATGCAAAGGGAATATTTGCTGTCCTTTATGACCAGTTGACGTAACACTGTTGGCCTGTGGGCTTAAGTAGTGTAAATGAACTCTGGGGGGAGGATATTTGGTGAAACTAGCTTTAAGACCTGACAAAGATGCCAGGGTTTCCCATTTATGGGCTTTGCAGTAAAAGATACCTTACTGTCTAGCAAACATTCATGAAACTCAGAGTCCGGTGCCTCAACAGTGCTGCAGGCACAATAATCGTCCTAAAATAGTAGAGGTTCTCAGCCCAGCCCATGAGGCCCCATGAGGCCAGCAGCACTTGCTTACCTGGTTCAGATGTGTTGGGAATTCCAGAACTGGAGTTGGGAACCTTGTGATAGCAGGACTTTCTCTCTGTGAGTTAAGATGATCCTACCTTTGGGAAACCAGGCCCAGAACAGGACACAGAGGCATTTGTGCTGGGGACACTGGGGTTTATAAGTGTAGTATCTCGGGTTGACTATCTAGCTTCGGGTGCCTATCAAAAAGTGGCTATGGCATATGCTGCAACAAAAATAGGCTTGTCGTTTGTTACCTGATCTTTTTAATCTTTGTATTTCTGATGTCTTTTTTTAAAGTGATTAATGTATGGTTGCTTAGAATTGATAGATTTAACTTAAGACTTATTAAACTGGTTTTCAAAATGTTTTCTTGTTTGTGTGCATTAAAGGTTTTTTTGTACAGAGATAAGTTCTGTGTTTGTTTCTGACACACACACTTTATTGTTCCTTCTCATGAAAGTCTCAGTATTTGCATATCAACCTGTTTGACTGGTTTAGACTTTATTCAGGACAGAGCATGTACTTCTTTATCAAAAAACATATCCTAAAACTTGACATATAGCAGCATCCTGACTGAATGTGACTTGTGTAATGAAATGAAATGAATTAAAATGAATGTTAAATTGAATCAACAGTACGTTTCAGATAGCATTACAACACTTACCAGGCAGCGTAAGTTTGGGACTTTCCTGCTGCCCAGGGTTTTTACTTAAAGACTAAAACTTCTATGGTGCAGTCACGTTCCTACAGTTCAGGAGTGCACTACAGCCAGGTCAGCTGTGATATTCACTCGTAAACAGCTCTTCCTTGCATGCCCGGATGCCTCGGCGAGCTACCAAGAAGAAGAGAGCCAGTACTGAGAACACTGCTGAGGACGGTGGTGGCAGAGCAAAGAGGACGTGCCAGAGCAGAGTGGGTAAATCAAGAAGCAAAAAGAACAACACAGAGGAAACAGCAATGGGAACAGGTAATAGATTTTAGTCTTGTAAACCTTCTTACGAATCTAATATATTGCTACCAAATGAGTTCATGAACTAATCAGATTAAGAAAGAATATAGACTACAATAGTCTAAAATATAGTTCTTAAAACGGATCAAAAAACTTTTTTAAAAAGAAGTCTTCTGTTGAAATAACATATAGTTAGGTTTCACTTTCACTTGCAGTTTAATACGCCATTTATTGCCTAACCCTGCAGTTTAAGAGTTCTTACCTAAACTACTTGGCTTCATAGCTCAGGGTTTCCACTGTCTCGAACAACAGTTCTGTAGAAGTACATTTTTCATTTGTCAAGGTACAAACAATGTAAATGTACCCTTAGAAGTACAGCAATGGTTTTGAGGTCCAACTGTATCCTAATAATGTCTTACCCAGGAGAAAAATACATATTTGCACCTTGTCACAACCTATTTTTTAAAACAAAACAATAAAACAGAAAGCTTGGAGACGAGAGTGTGTGTGGAGTCAATACAACTTAAAAAATATAGCTGCAATGGTTTATGGTACAGTTGAGTTCCCTAACTAAAGGTACTGAAGACCTACCCTTAAGGGTACCAGCCCAGTGACAGTTCAGTACCTTTTTTTTTGAGAGTGCACCTGGTTCATGATATCTTATCAAAGCCTGTTAAAGCAAGTGTGTTACAAAGGAAGGGAAAACGTGAAATGGGCTTCCAGGCCTCTCAAGTCCTGCCATAGCAATCACGTCAGAGTCTTGAAGTCATTCCTTTACATACCATGTAAAATTGACGTTGTTGATGTTGATGTAGCAGTGACAGTATTCTCACTGCATAATAATTAATCATTTATTAATATGTAATAATAACACCTAAACACCTATATTTCTTCTAGGTAAACCATCATTTATTCCAACTTATTCTCCCAGCCAGGAAACATCACTAAAGGTGAGAGCCTCTTCCCCGTTCTGGTGAACTGATCATGTAGTTGCATGTAAGCATGTAGTTGGTTTTTTTAGCGCCACTCCAAAAGTATTTTGCTGCCATCTCGAGGCAGTGCTGCTTGCTTATTTCTTGTACCACGGTCTGTTCTCGCGCATGCACAGACTGAGAAATACAAAAGAAATCCGAGTAAGAGTCCACATGCACTGAGCAATCTCATTATCGAGCTAAAATCCAGCTCTCTTTATCGGATTTCTTAATTTTACTTACTCAGATCTAAGAAATCAGAGTATGCTGTTTAATGACCATTTCAATAATCAGATGTGCAGAAATCTGATTATGATCAGATTATTAAGTGCATGTAAACACAATGTCAATACATATTGAAAAATATAATCTGTAACAGTACCAACACTTTGATTTTCTCTTGATCTCTTTATTCACTGTCCTTTGTGGAAACCACAGTCAGTGATCAAAACTAGCCACCTGGGTGCATCCCATTAGTAAAGTGGGGGGCAAGGGGAAGGGTAAAGTTATGCTTGTACACACACCCAAAAATACTTTTTATAAATCAATTCTAATTTCTACAAGATGTGATTTTTTGGGGGAGGATGGCACAGCAGGCATTGCAAAAGTTCTATCTTTTATTTATTTGGAGCTAAACCAATCTCTGTAGTGAATAAATAGGGTCCAGACATTTTTAACACGTCAAATATTGAAAATGAAATGAAATCTTGACCTCACAACTAAAAACAGTATTGAACCTGAAAATACGTGAATTGCTCCTAGTGCACGTGTGTATGCTGCATACATGGTGTAAACAATACCATTTTAAAATTAACATTAATAAAAGGCACATATTCATTCACCCCTTATTAAAGTTGTATTGTATAAAGACACCATCGTATCACACGGAATCAAATTTTACATTTTGTGTATTGTTATGTCCTTAATATAAAGATGAATATGAAGACTTAAATTTACCGGTTTAAAACCCTCCTTCAAGAATACCTCACATTTTAGCCTTCTCCCTAACCGGTATCTTCTTTACAGTGTCCAGATTGCACATCTCCATTGAAGCCTATACTGGATACAGCAGGACGTCCCATGCCGCTGCTGCAGTGCCTCCAGTGTCCAGCGGGCCAGCCACTCTGTGAGCAATGTCTTTACCCATGTTCGAACAACCCAGACAAAAGCACCACCACCTGCACCAACAAGTCCTGCCAGCTTGTCTTGGTGCTGCTCACCTGCGAGGAGGTCACAGATCCCTTGAGCAAAGTAAAGGGCTGCCCGCTGTTCCGTGCCTGCCCCAAGTGTCGCAGTCTGATGATGCATGAGAGAGGGTGCAAGTATGTTGCTTGTATGAAGTGCCAGCACAGATACTGTTTTATCTGCCTACGGAGCACAGTTGAGTGTATAAAGGATGTAAACAAGTACTGGTCACTGAGCTGCTCCAAACCAAGAGCAGCCAGGCAGAGATTCCAAACATGAGGAGCTGCACCTCTCAGCACAAGAGGGCCCTCGGTTCTGAGCCCATGATACAGGTGCACTCGAATTTGCTCCTCAACTCGAAATTCGATCCTGCTTTTTGAAATCACTTCTTTGTTCTAACTTCTAGTGTGATTCGTGCAATTGGCTATCGCTTTTGCAGAAAACTTGTAGCATGCAGTCCCTGAGGACTTTGAGAAAAGAATCTCCTTGTATTAATAAGGACAAACTGCTCCAAATGCAGCCAAGACTACATTAAGATGCCTTCCACAAGTCTGTTCAAGTGGAGAGTCTATTTCTGATTTGCCCATTAAGGAAGTTGGCAAAATCAACCGCTTTAAATGGAAATTTTGAATTCACCGTGAAAGATTTAAAATTAGGGGGAAACTTCTGAGGTGATTTTAGCTTTAATGAACATACAGCCCTTTGGCAACACTACAGATTGCAGCGAGTCTGGCTGGAAAGAATTCCAAAAACATCACTGAAAACTGATTTTGAATTCACTCCAAAATATTTAAATAAACACCCAAAATGTGTTTCTTCTCTGTAAAGTGATTCACAAACTATTATTGGTCTTTAAAGCCTTAGACTGACAAATGAAGGACAACAGAAATTATGTAATTTGGAGCTCCTGGAAACTTTAAAACTGCATGATGTTTAGATATGTTGTGTTTTAAACTTTAAAAGACCGTAAAAGCGAAAATCGAATTAATCTTCTGGATCTTCAAAATAAGCAGTGCAGATGAGCTTGTAATGCACAAATCAACATGATGATTAAAAATACCGTTAATAATAATGCCATCGGATTAACACCATTCAGGAAAGCCCAAAACAAATTACATTTAGTATAAACTCAAATGAATACACTTCCTCATAATGCACGTTTTTGGTAATCATCCTAGGAGAAGGCTAGTTAATTTACAGCTCTAATACAGGCTACAGCTCTCAAGGAACAAATTTGGGCAGCCCTCAATTAAACATTCTTCTGATCTGAGGAAAAAAAAAACCTGCAGAAATCCATATCTAGCTTGATGAGTTTATCAAGCTAACTTTAAACCGTAGTATATGATAAATCCCACTAGAGGGCAGACGGAGCTTCTTTTGAATTTGTTCCAAATGAAATTCAAGGTCTGGGATGTGCTGAGACCAACACACTGGAGCCATTTCAGTTTAAACGTTTGTATTAAGATCTGGTATAAGACAATTATAAACACTGGACAGAGGTCAACATTATGTTCAGAGTCAAAGTCTTGTTACCAGGCACTTGCATACATTTGAATTAGCAACAGTACCATTGAACCCTGAGAGTGCGGTCACTGGGAGGGAAAGAAGTCAGGGTCCCTTTGTCCAGCAGTCCTCCCCCAGACATGACTTAACTAGAAATAAAGTAAAAAGAAATCTTGAATACTTTTCAGTATGAAACTGTGTCTTGTTCCTATTAATATACAGTTGTATGCCTGTTCAAATTTTCACGTTTTGCTGATTTTCAAGTGAAAATAAGTAAACACATTATCTACAGGGAACATCCTTCATATGGTATTTTTCTGAAAATTCTAGTGCACAATTTCTATTTAATTACTGATTTTAACACACTGGAAAACATAAAATATAAAAATGTGCCTTTACTTTTGCACAGGGCACATGTTCTATTTTATTTTTCCCCCAGTATGTTACATTCAGTGAATAAACAGTAATTGTGCATTGAAATGTGCAGACATGCGTTCTCTGAAGAGGATACGTACTTATTTTCACTGAGAAAATCAACCAAACATGTTAGACCAGGGGTGCACAAACTTTTGCATAAGACTGCATATGCTATATAATACACAAATGGCCAGCCATGTGACCAATTTCCTGACAGTAATGTGTCTTACAAGAAAAACACTAAACTAAAACTTTAACTGTAACATTATTTTTTATTATAACAGGTTTTCTGGTAAAACTTACTGTATTTCTTGATACAAACTTTTGAGACACAAACAGTTTTAGAAATTAGAGGTGAGGCTGTAATTGGTGTTTTTTCACAGAGAGGCTTTTCTACTTTTGCACAATTCCTAAACATTCACACTTGTCCCCTGGCATGTGACCTCTGATGGAACTTCAGCCCCCCGCAGTTCCTAAAGGTTTTCCCGCACTGTCCACACTGGTACGGCATCTCCCCTGTGTGGATGCGGAAGTGGCGCTTTAGTGCCCATGAGTGGCGAAAGCGAGCGCTGCAGACGGTGCACACATATGGCCTCTCGCCCGTGTGGATCCTCTGGTGAATCTTCAGGTGCTCCATGCGGTTGAAGTCTCTGCCGCACTGCGAGCAATGGTAGGGGCTGCGACCGGGGGGGAACAGGCTGCGCTTGGGCCCCCTGTGGTGATGGCCAGTCTGTTTCGGGTGCATGAGGCTGCGGTGCCTGCGCAGATCCTCCTGACGACTGAAAGACTGGCCGCAGACCTTACAGACATGCGAGGGGGCTGAGCCGTGGGCAGGGTAGAGCTGATGAGGAGCGTGACTGGAGAGGGAAGCGGCATCTCTGTGTGAATGTGGTGGGGCGGGGAACGGGTCTGACTGGCTGGGGGCAGCGGAAGTGAGGAAGTCTAGATCTGGGATCTCTCCTGGGAAGATGGAGGGATCAGCTGATGGAGAATGAGACACATTAAGCACATGCAAACTTACTGTATGATTACAATTTCTCTCTAAACTGTTGGCAAGATCATTATTTTTACAGACTTCTAATAAGAGTCATTCTATTCAGCATGAATCTCACCTTCATAAGTGTTTCTTCAAAAATTATGTGGGCGATAATTAATGCAGATTATGTTATAAAATATGATACAGATATTAAGAATTCTGGGAATGCAGTAAACCCTTGTGTAGTGTTGATGTGTTTGTTACTCAGTGGTCTGGTGGACCCACCGCATTGTTTTTTTTAAATCAACACAGCCATAACTATTTTTGTAAAAACACCACATATTTAAAAATATACCAAGTGGCCAGTGCAGGGTTTTCCTTTAGACTGTAGCCAGTCAGCAGCCTGTCCATGTTGTCCACCCTCACACACAGCCACGCCCACACACACACACACACTGACAGCAGGTCATGTAGGAGGAGAACAGAGTGAAGGACACAGCGCCTCCACACTTTTATTCCCTGCGGGTTCACCCCAACACCACATGTGTAATATAAATGTGTGGGGGAACAGTGTGAAGTCATTGAAAATGTGTTATTTTATATGCTCTTCACAGAAAATGAGCAAAGGCCAAGGAATCTGAGGTTGAAATAATAACAAATCGCATCATTTTTTCTTTTGGTAAACGCTGACCCCAACACCACACAAGGGTTGAACAAAAATGCCATGAATGTAACTGAACGTTAGCACTAAAGGTGCTGAAACAGTTATTAGACATTAAAACATAATCAAGAAATACTGTCAACTGCCAAAAGCTGTTGATTTTATTGTTCATATTTTCATTCAACCTAGATTGACTTAACGACTTAACCTGAAATTGGCAGCAATACACATACAATGCTGTACCAATGTGAGCAGACTGAGAAAGAAAAATAATAATTATGGCTAAAATTTAAAAAGGAAGTGTGGGGGGCTTAAAATTAAGAATAACGTATGCCTAACTTATCGTTCCACGGAAATGCAACATTATTTTCAACCGCTGAAAAAGAAAAAGAAACTGGCGTTGCTTCTAAATCAGCAGAACGGTCAGTAAATGGTAGCTTTCCCTGGTGTTCTGACAATCTGAACTGCTCCCAGAGGACGTGCACTTCACACTGTGAGGGATTCATCAGCATGAGCCAGAGTTACTGTTACAAAAATCAGGAACAAAAAAGTACGGAAAAAAAAAATACAAAAATTACAATACTAATGACACAGGAATATTCTCAACTGTAGTGTTCATTAAAAGTATTTAGCAGCTACTTCAAAAACTATTGAACGTTTGGCAGCGAGTCCCATCACAGCATTACATTCGCTGGCTAGCTTACTATGTACTGGTTAACTTCAATTACAACTCATTTTGTAAACATAATTTTCAAGTAAAACAAAGGCGATCTGCTCGCCCTGAAAACATATTCACATATAATTTATCTAGTGAATTAGCAAAAATGTGAAACAGGTGTTAATGATCCTGCAGAATAAAGAGCAAACATGTTAATCTGCATATTTATTACCTTACTAGCTTTTTAGCAACTGCTTATTACTTAAAGTACTACAGTAAGTAACTGTAAACTACTGTAGCTCAAAATTATGGGCTTAAACAAAGTGCCATGCTTTTTCTGTGGTGATCATTTAAGCTGTACCTTAGACTGTCAGAACAGTGCCAAACTTTTTACTGTTACAGTTTGTCACATTTACAGGCCAGCTTTAAGCCTAATAACTGATCATCAGATGATTCATTCGCACGAATAACCGAATATCAAAATATTTGTTTTTTTGCAGTCCTGTAACCCACATAAGTCTTGGTAAAACTATTACCTAAACAAGCAAACAAGTCACAAGATTTTCATCATTTGGATTAGACATGGTTTACATGCAACTTGTGTAATGTAACCTGAGAAAGGAAAATGTTTTTGGTAAGACTTACGTTACACCACACTTACCCAGAGTGTTGCTGGCAGAGGAAGTGTATGAGTTCGACTGAAGCTGCAGTTGTTCAGGCCTCCAGTCGTCAAGCAATCTCGACTGGGCCAGTGAGAGGCAGTCAGAACCAAAGCTCTCTTGCTCAGAGTCAGGGCCATTGCACTGCTCAGTCTTCTCCACCTTCACTGCGACCTCAGACACAGCAGTGCCAGCGTCAAGCATCGCAGACTCCTCCATCAGAGCTGATGTTGCAGGTTCATTGGCTAGTCTGACACATGTCTGATCAAAATGCGAGTTGTCTTGTATGCTGTGATGGTCATCTTTTCCGCCTGTGTAAACATAATACAAAATGTTTAAATTAACTTTCTGCATTTAATCCTACAACAGTACATCCCACTCTGGTCCTGGAGTGCCTTACTTACTTACTTCCTCGCTTATTTACTTACTTACTACACAAATTTTCCCCAGTGTAGTCTTTGCTAATTACACCTGTCAGTTAGGTCTGCTGCATCACGACGCCACCAAGCTGGGTGAGTGAAAGCGCCACCACATCTTTCACTGGACAGCTAAAGGCGCCTGGAGGAGAACGCTGACTGACAATTCTGCTAACGTCAGCTAACAGATACGCACTCTAGCTAACATCATGCTGAGTGGCGGGGAGAGGAATGACCATCTGACCATCCTACATATCCAGAGAGAGCAAGGCTAGTATGTTCTCTTGAAGTTATATTTGACAAGGGATTGAACTCATGGTTAATCAATGACACTGCTGACAGAAACAGATCAGCAGAGTTATTCCAAAGCATTTTAAGACTCCTGCCCCAATCCAACCAATCAGTCTTTTTTTTTCTCCAATTTAGTCTTTACCAGTTCCGAACGGTCGTTGCCGATGCATCCTTCCAGGTATGCCCGGTGCCAGCAACACGCCCAGCGTTTAGATGGTTACACAACTTTAGAGCCACAAAACATTGTGCAGAACAGAGGATCAGTACGGAAGTCCAGAGAGGCCATGAGGTAGTTAGAACTTTCTGGATTGTTTTTTGGGATAATGAGTTAATTATCTTACCTCAAGATAAAAAAAACTGTTATCTTGAAATAACGAGCTACTTATCTCATTATCTCAAGATAACAAAATTATTATCTTGAAATAATAAGTTACTTATCTTGTTATCTAAATGAGTTACTTATCTCATTATCTCAAGATAACAATCTAGAAAATTATAGCAACAGCTCCGTAGATCAGTGTTTTTTTTGTTTTGTTTTGTGTAAATCTCTCTCCCAAAGCCTTTATCATGATTTAGTGGTCTAAAATGGAACTAAAAGTTTAATTTTCATGGGTACTCAAGGAGCAGGACTGTGAAACACTGTTCAAGGAGCAGGACTGTGAAACACTGTTCAAGGAGCAGGACTGTGAAACACTGAAACACAAGGAGCAGGACTGTGAAACACTGAAACACAAGGAGCAGGACTGTGAAACACTGTTCAAGGAGCAGGACTGTGAAACACTGCTCTTTACCAACATCCAGTGTCATAATCCACGCTGTGTCGAGCAGTTTACACAATACAGAACAAGTTCAATCTTGACTTCGCAGTATAACTGAAAGAGTGCATGTCTGCGTTGGGAAGGATTGGGTGAACCATACTGACCATATTGATTGCTATTATATTATAGAATCAGGTAAAAAGGCTCACCTGCCAGCTCACTTTTAGCCTCCTGGTGTGCACTGGACTCCAGATGTGCGCTGGACTCCTCCTTGGCCAACAAATCTGGCTTCAGATCCTGTGTGCACACGCTTCCATCTTCTCGGATCTCGCAGAAAGAGCTCCCCTCATATCCGTTCGCTTCACGGGACGCACCAACTTCAAATTTTCGTTCAACGTCCGCCAAGCACTCGGCAATCCGCTCGGGACTCAGATCCACGTCGGTAGGCGCACTCGCCTGCTCGTGAACCGCCGGCTGAAGCCGACTACCGGCGGAGAGACTCGTATCGACGGCAATCATCACCTGGGCTTGACGCTGCTGACGCTGCGCCTCCGCCAGGCGCTCGCGCACGGCGCGCAGCTCGGTCTCGGCAGCGCGCAGACGGGACTCGAGCACCTTATTGTCCCGGAGGGTCTCGTGCATCTGGTCGCGCACGTCCCTCAGCGCGTGGCCGACCAGTTTGGTCACCTCAACCACCGCGATTTCCACGGCCACGCCGAGCGCGCTCTGAATGCTCGCCGTCAGCTCCTCCCGAAACGACAGCGAGAGCTCCGCCACCAGAGCAGAGCCGCTGCTGCTGGGCGAGGTTTGGCCGCCGGACATCACGGCCTTTTAACAGAGTTAACCGAGCTGCCTTTTAAGTCGGAATGACACGCTAAGCGCTGAATTACACACAGTCTCCCACAAAAGACCACATATATCACATTCCCGTCCTCTAGAGGCGCCGAGTCTGTGATTTCTGCCTCACTGACTCCAGTTTCTGCCCTTCTTCCTCGATAATGTTGAACGTTAACTCCCCTGAGAGGACTCTGAGTTAGCCAGTTAACGGACAGGACCTGCAGCGCGTTTCCACTAAAACAGAGAGAAGCACAGAGACACTACGAAGGACTGAAGTCTTTTGCCCAGTAATAACAGGCGGTTTTCCCTGCAAACGTCAATATAAAAGTCCTCTGTAGCCGTTAGCTTGTGCTCGCTAAGGTGATGCAGTTAGCTACTTAGCTTTTATCCCCGTCTTCCGGTTGTCTAACCGAAGCCCTGCCCATTAAAGGCGCATAGTGCTGTGACTTAAAGGGGAATTCCATCAATTTTTCAAATTTCTAAAAATTTCAGTCTTTGAGATGTAAGCAGAGTCATTCAGAGTGGTTTGATGTGAAATGGTTATTTCTTTACAGTGGTGGTGACAGGAACCATATAAAAACACGTGCTTTTGGACAAACTTGCTCCATACCAGCAGAGAGATTAAATGAATAAATAATAATACTTTGTTAGCCCCCTTTTACCCTGTTCTTCAGTGGTCAGGACCCCCATGGACCCTCACAGAGCAGGTACTATTTATGTGGTGGGTCATTCTCAGCACTGCAGTAACACTGACGTGGTGGTGGTGTGTTGGTGTGTGTTGCGCTGGTCTGAGTGGATCAGACACAGCAGTGCTGCTGGAGATTTATATATTTCTATACTCTAGAACAACGTTCTGCCTCAATACTGTCCAATATACTGCTGCAAACAGACCATACTATATTTAATATTTTATTATGAATATACTGAGGGGAATAATAGGATTTGACATAGGAATATATTTACATATGACTAAAAAGCCATGAGTTTAATTTAGAGTGAGTTACTAAACGGTCTAGTTTAATTCTCATTAGTTCTTGACATGAAAAAGTAAACTAATACGTAAAAGATATGAATAAGACTTCAACCTGATAAAGGTGATTTAATCAGAGGTTCACCTCCAAAATATTAGTTACTTTGCCTGGGTAAATGAAACTGTGTGTATTTTATAGTCTACTGTGAAGATGAATCCACATTCAGAATCTGTATTTAATCACTTAAAGTCCAGATTTGACCAAATGCAGCATCTCTTAATCACCCTACAGAGTCTGTGACACAGCCTGTGCATTTGTACAAAGCGTGGATGATAATACCGCGGGCTGAAAAGTGGAAAGATCTTTTAAAAATCATGTGGATGGTAGAGCTGTGAGGGACATTGATTCAGTCCCTGAAATTAATGTGCACAGATTTTTAAAACAAGTGCATTTTTATTAACAACAGGAAATACAACCCTTCAATAAAAAAACAAAACTTTTTATATGTGATCTTATATTATCTAATATTCAAATTACTCTATTTTACAAATTTCCAGGTATGCTTTAATTTCTTGGAGCAGATATTTTGTCATGTGAACATATCCTTCCTCTCACTGGTCCTGGATGGTCCTGCATTAAAAGAAGATAATCAGTCTGCTGAACATGCCAGCTGTCGGGGGAAGTTTGTCACTATCATACAGTTTTTTTGATAATTACAGCATTTGCTCTCAGTATGTATCTCCAGGAGGATTATGAAACTCAGGGCAATTCCCACTTCAGAAAAAAAGGGGAGAATAATTCCTGAAGATGTCTGTATGATGTTTCTGACTCAGTTCCAGAGTCTGGTCCATTAAAGGATCACCCACCCAATCAGAGGCAGTAACAGGAGCCTTCCTTGTGGTTAGATGTAATAGGTAATGTAATATTTATATGGTTTCTATACATATCGATTCATATTCTGCATGAAAGGATTATCTAGATTTACACTGCCATAGTGGAGTTTTCTCTGTATTTCACCTTCACCTGCTGCCATGCATATTTTACATGTGCTGCTTCTAACGCCATTGTTTCAATGGAGCAATGAATACAATAGCTTTATATTAAATACTGCTGCTTTAAAACGGTAAATCTAGTCATACATCATTTCTCAATTATATTTCTTCATTATTTCTATAGTTCTGTCAGTTGAAAATAGCCAAGGCAGGAGAGTATTAGGACATACAGTGTATGAAGTTATTTTAATTAATAATATTTTATAGTGTTTTATACTGTAAATTAAAGTGTTACCTTCAAATATTGCGTATTATTTGTATTAACTGTTTTCGGCTTGCCTAAAATGAACGAAACCAGAGATGTTACAGAAGAGGAGACTGGTCACTGGTTGAAATATGTATGAAAGTGAAAGCTTGTAACGGTCAACAAGTCCCGACTTTCAGTAAATACAGCCAATCTGCTTGCTGGTTACACTGCAAGTGGGGAAAGGCCTCCTCGTTGTCGAGATCTAGGCAAGCGCAGTACCAGAACAACCCGAAAAAGCGTTTTTGACAGATTTTTATCAGTGATTTCAAATATGTTTTTAAAGCAGCAAGTTGGCCTTCAGTTTTGAGTATTTAGGCTTCTCCTCTTTCTAAGAGATTGGAGTCTGGTCTTGTATGACTGTAAATGCCCAGCAGCGTTGCCAAGATGGCCACTGAGTGAACAGACTATCCTATAAGGAATCTGATAGAACCCACAGATCCTGGGTGAACTCTTTGGCTAAATTAAGCACGGCTAATTCAAATAAGCGTGGCTCTTATAAACTTGCTGCATGGAATACCACCCCAGCTTTCTCAAGGCCTTGCTAACAAAATTGCTTCTGCAGAACTACAAAGACGAGAGAAACTGAAAAAGTGACAAACTAATACCACTGACCCTGCTGCTGAGTGAATGGATTTTAGACGCTGGTAAGATAAAATTCAAAGATCACGTTGGATGCAGACTGTCGCAACGTGATGATCTTTCTCACGTGTCTTCTGAATGCTGTAAACATCAGAGCTCAGTCTGGGGAACCCAGAGTAGGGGATAACAGAGTTTTGACTCCTGAATCAGTCAAACAGACTTACTCAGATAGAGACACTGCAACATTCCAATGTTTATCTGGTTACAAGTTTGTAGATCCAAGTGCTTCCGGATCTATTACCTGCTCTGGAAACAAGTGGACCAGCACTTTGATGCATGAAAAAAAAAACATGTAGCACTCTTCCAGACATTGCCAGTGGGAAGCATACTTACTCTCCAGAAGGAAATAAAGAAATTTCAGCCACAGCACAGTGTAACCCAGGCTATTGACTTGTTGGACAAGCAGATAGATATTGACGAAATTGTGGTTGAGATGGGAGAGAACCTGTCTGTGAAATGGTCAAGTGCCTACCACCTCTTGGGATACAGAAGGGACAGTCAGATGAACCACTCAAGGATGAATATGACTATGGACACCCTGTCACATACACTTGTAATCCGAGCTTTACTTTTTTTGGACAATCAACAGTATCATGCTCTGAAGACGGAAGTTTCATCCTCCTGGATGGAATCGACCTCCTCCACCGTGCATTGATCAAGATACTTAAGATATTGTGCAATCTGTTACACCTCCATCATCAGAGATGACTGGCCTGTAGTTTGGTATCTGTGGATTATTCTCTTCCTTATTCCAAGCCTTAGTGTCCTCCTGCTTTCAGAAATCCAAGGTATGCCTAATGTGAATGATGTGAATTATGCTTTTGCTTCACCATGGATGCCGGCAAGTTCAGCAGGAGCTTTTCTTCAGCTGATTCATGTATCCTGTGTGAGTTAAATTCAGCAGGTTTTCCACAATACAGGTTAAACAAAGATGTGAACTTTGGTGTAGACTGTTGTCTATCACCCTTTTTTACTTACTGATCTGAACTGGTGTCACTTATGAAAAAAGTGAAAAAGGGGTGAGGGCTTTTAACGCCATATCACATGCATTATTTATGCTTAAGCCCTATAATAATACCTCACCTGCAGTTTTGATCAAACCAAAATAAGTCACTGCTGTTTTTGACCTAGTTCGTCCCCTATTTGTCCCGCATTAAAGCCAGATGTCAGGGGTTAAGTTGCAAGTCTAGCACTGTTTTTTTTTAAATAGTTAATGCAAAAATGTGCATTGAGAGTTGAAAAGGCTTTTAGAGTTCTTTGTAGTTCATATTTATTATTTGTATAACACTGGAATCAAATCAATCTTAAAAACACCCTCCATGTATCTCTCCATCCTGCACTGTAAAGAAAGAGTTTTAGGCCAAGACCTTATCTTAAAACTATTGTAAAAAATGTCTTAATTTTCATTACCTATATTATTTAATAATTTTGAGGTGTAGCACTTGGAATCTATTATTATCTTCTTGATAATAATAGAGTCAGAACTTGAGGAGTTATTTCTGTGTGGAGTTTGCCTGTTCTCCCCGTGTCTGCGTGGGTTTCCTCCGGGTACTCCGGTTTCCTCCCACAGTCCAAAAACATGCAGTTAAGCTAATTGGACATGCTGAATTGCCCCTAGGTGTGTGTGTGTGTGTGAATGTTGTGTCTGTCTGTCTGCCCTGCGATGGACTGGCGACCTGTCCAGGGTGTTTCCTGCCTTCCGCCCAATGACAGCTGGGATAGGCTCCAGCACCCCACCGCGACCCAGAAGGATGAGCAGTTTAGATGATGTATGTATGTATGTATGTACATTTTGCACATCAAAGGCATCTTGATATGTAAATCTTAAATGATGTTGTAGACCTCTGAGGACGTGTTGTCATTTTGTGGTCAAAAGTCACGGCCCTGGTACCCTGTGGTAAACAAAAATACTGATATTTAGAATTATGAAGGCATTAAGGAGTCAGAATATGAATGTCAGTATATACATGCTATATTGCACAGTGAACTGACATCATAAGACTTATCCAGCCTGTCATAAATATACCCCATGCAGAACCATCGTGCTTCATCTAGTGTTTCATCATGTGGCTCTGGCAGTGCTGCAGTTTGAGGAGCTGCTGGTGCTACATAACAGAGTTAAAGTTTAATAGTAGGCTTACTTTTATGTCAATTCAATGCATAGCAGTGTCAGCTCAAGTATGTACAGTATGTAGAAATGTTTGTATTTTGACTTCTGAAGTGAATGGGAACGCCACCATAATTCTCCATAATTCACTGGTTCAGAAACAAAGTCATTCAGAGTGTTTTGGTGTCAAATGAAAACAAAAGACACTTGTAAGATCCCTGTTGGTAAATAATCCCCTGGTTCCTATCACCACCACTGTAAAGAAATCCAAGTTGGCAAATTTAAAATCTAAATCTTAACGGCACCATTTCACATCAAACCACTCTGAATTAACTTTGTTAACATCTCAGTGATTTTATTATTCAGAAATTTTGAAAAATCTATGAAAAAAACATGTAGTGATACAATAAACTATATGCTGTATAATATTTCTGTAATAAACTACAACATTTTCACTTCTGAGTGATATTTTCCATAGTACTGTTATATAGGGGGCAATAGGACGACATCATTATCATGATAAATTATGTCACAGTATGCTTTTCTGAGCATATCTTAGATATCGTCAGTACTTAAAGAACACTGACTAACTGTATGTTTCATTACAAATGACGTAATCAGTCCTGTTTAATGGATTTAGTGCAGTGCAATTTGAAAAACACTGAAATCATTGTAGTTGTGGATATATTATCATTATTATGGTGTTTTTCTATGTGGCGTGTTGCATACTGTGTATCATGAAAATGTCTTGAAGAGTTGTGATATAATATTTTTGCCAAATCGTCCACCCTTACTGTCTTATAGTAATCTATAATATGTGTATCTAGTATACTATAGTAATTTACTACAAGATTCCACTATAAGACATTTCTGCAGTGTGGTAACCAAGTGGCACCGGCCGTAGGTACTACAATTTGAGGAGCTAGTGTTTGTTGAGCTGAAATGAACTTTCATGTCAATTTAATGTGCAGCAGTGTCAGCTTGCTTGTAGTGTGTGCACATGTAGCAATATTCATATTTCAAAGGGATATTCATATACTTAAAAGGGGAAATATTTCTGCATAATTCAAAAGTTGAGATGTAAACAAAGTCATTCAAAGTGTTTTGGTGGAACATGGTGCATTCTAGAGAAACTTGTCAGCTCAAATTTCTTTACAGTGGTGGTGACAGGAAGCAGAGGTTGCAGTGCAAGCATAGTCATTTGTTTCCATGTAATAGCTTTCAGTGAGGTCTGGTTCCTATCACCACCATGTTCTCTAGAATGAAGTATTTCTCATCAAACCACTCTGGATGACTTTGTTTACATCGAAATGATTATTATGCAGATTTTTTTTTTTGAAAATTCAGTGAATTTGCTCTTTAACATCCTCGTAATTCAGAGATTCCAGTAACATCCTGAAAGAAAATTGGACATGGGGGGAAAACTCATCTTTTTATTATCACAGTGATTGAATATGCCATTTTTTATTTATTTATTTTTTTCCACTACTATCAACCAGCTTAGACCCAGAGTTCCTCATTTGGACATATGGCCAACTATAATATGACGTAACCGCAGAGATCAATGATGATCTAAAGTGGATGTAAAGGGAGGCTGGCAGCATCCCTTTGCATTCCCGTCAGTCGAGCCCTGGTTGTATGACTGTGGGGGTGAACTGAGAGCTTAGAGCTGGAGTTCTGGACGGAAATCAATCATTAGGATCACAAAATCGAATCTACTTGTATCGCTCAGCACCTGGCCCCCCAACCGAGGCACACTGTCAGTCAGCGTCGAGCTGAGCCAAACGCCAACCAGCAGGTGTCGCCGCAGCCGCTCTGGTTCAGGCTCTGCGGTCGAGAGACACACAGACCTGGCGGTGACCATGGAAAAGGGGGGATTCCGCATTTAATAATTAAAAAAAAAGAAAAAAAAACCCCACAGATTTGCTTCTCGCGCACAACTGCGCGCGCTCATCTCGTGGCAGAAAAAAAGCAACCAGCTCTTGAACATCTGGAGTGAAGGTCGCGCTTCAGGACTCGGATTCAAAGGATGGATTTATGAGAGAAGCGTGCAGTGGTCTCAGTTTTATGCGCGCGCGTGCATATTTGCCATCAGCTTCTTCGCTCACCAAACGGCAAGCCTCGTGCCCACCATTATCAGCCCCTTCGCGCACACACATACACACGCGCGCGCGCGCGCACGCCGTGGCACTGACTGACTTCCACTTGCACGGGGGGATGATGTGCACTCGGCGGAGCAGAGCCGTGCAGTGAACGTGCACACGGCCGTCCGCGTGCGTGTCGTACTTGGGACGGGACGGGGGAAACAGCACAAACACATTATCATCCTCGGGGACGGAGGGGAGGGGAGGGGAGTGGGGGGGCGGTGGGGTTTGGTAGTGGTGGTGGTTGGGAAGGAGTGGGGGGGGCACTGCACGCGAATACACGATGAGGGAAGACAGAAGAGGAGCGGGGAGGCGATGCACCGCGTGAGCGTGGATTTTTGAAAGAAAAACAACACACAACGCGTAAAAAAGGAAACGAGGCACGCGATGGAGACGCTGACGGCGCCGGAGCCGCAGAGCTACGAAGACGTGCGCAAGAGCGGCTACCTCCGCAAGCAGAAGTCCATGCACCGGCGCTTCTTCGTGCTCCGGGCCGCCTCGGAGCACGGCCCCGCGCGCCTCGAGTACTACGAGAACGAGAAGAAATTCCGCAGCAAGTCGCCCGTGCCCAAGAAAGTGGTGCACCTGGACTCGTGCTTCAACATCAACAAGCGGGCGGATTCCAAGAACAAGCACATGATCGTGCTGTACACGCGCGGGGAGAGCTTCGCCATCGCCGCGGACACCGAGCAGGCTCAGAACGAGTGGTACCAGGCCATGCTGGACCTCCAGTGCAGAAGTAAGCGCGAGATAAACTCATCTGACAATCACTGCATCTCTGCTAGCTCCGTCTCTCTGACCCCCCCCCCCCCACTAAAGACCCCCCTCTCATATCCACATTCTTGGCCAAATGTGCAAATGTGCCACACTCCACAATGCCAGCTCGTGCACAGCCCTCAGCCCTGCTGCAATGCATTTTGCAGCTTTGCCCTCCATTCACGCCTTTGCGCTTGTATTTTGCTGACCGCGTGCGCGTAAACGCATTAAATGGACGCATCGTGGCTGCAAGGAGCGCTGAAATTGTGATTCCTGGTCATTTTTTGGTGCATATGCTTGCATGCGAGCGGGGAGGGAATGTCAACACGGGGCAGTGTTTTGGTGCTGTCCTCAGCAGACGGGAATTACTACGGTGTGTAGTGTAGTGAGAGGGTGGCGCATTGTGCAGCGGAGGCTGCAGCAGCAGCAGCAGCAGCAGGCAGGCAGGCAGCAACAGCAGCAGCGCGCACGCCCGTCTGTTATTGTTTTTTTTTTCTCCCAACACATTGGTGCGCCTTGTGCGCGTAACCTACATTTCTGTGCGCGAGCACTGCTGGCGGGGAGGGCGTCCGCAGCGGCGGCGTGTTTTCATTGGGAAACGGGTTTCTTCCAGCCCCATATCCCCCGTGTTTTGGTTGCCGTGGTCCCCCACCCCATCACCACCGTATGAATCGACCACCGAGCAGAACGAGGGCATTAGATCGGCGCGCCGTAGCCTATTAAAACGATCGCTGTATCCAGCCATAACCGTGTCCTTGTATGTGATTGCCCGTTTAAGACCTCGCACTGTCTGCTCGTCCGTAAACGCCCTTATCACACTGCTGACTCGCTGCTACTCCTTACGTGCACATCTACTATGCGCAGTCGGTGTTTTTCAAATTCTCAACCGCAGCACAAAATCACCAGATCCATAACCACAACCGGAATCGATTGAATATGCATTGGAAAAACAATTCCTTTTAATAATTAATGCTGCATTTTGATCTGTATGTGGAAAATCATTCTGCATTATTTAGTCACAGCCAGAAAATTTTATTTATTTATTTATCTTTCTTTCTTTTTTTTCTATCAGAGCTTCATGTGCATTTTGAGTTATTTTTTGCTGCTGGTGAACATTCTGCATTTGCAGTTGCTTTAAGATCACTGCTCTGCCACAGCAAATCTTTTCTAGGTAGTATTTAGTATGTAATATTTTGCCATATTCTGTCCACTGTTCACTGTGCATGAACGTTATACACAATAAACAGTAAAATATGTTGATGCAGTGGTTTGTGTGTTATGTCACATTAAAATACTCATGATGTTTTTTGCCCCAACATAGCTGAGTTAAGCAAACTCCTAAACCACTGTTAAGCCTTCGTGTGCATGATGTACAGTCATTTCAAGATTGTTTGCAGCATGCCATTCTGTAGATTCAATCATCACTCTGTGTTTCTTCATCACTCTGTAGGTAAAACACCTGATGACTATGGTAGTGGAGGAGAGTGTGGATTGCTGTCCCCCGGCCCTGCCTTTAAGGAGGTTTGGCAGGTGAAACTTTGGCCCAAGGGCTTGGGCCAGGCAAGGAACCTGATTGGCATCTACCGGCTCTGCCTTACTGATAAGACAGTCAATTTTGTTAAGCTGAACTCGGATGTAGCTGCTGTGGTGCTCCAACTGATGAACGTGCGACGCTGTGGCCATTCAGAGAACTTTTTCTTCATTGAGGTGGGCCGCTCGGCCATGACAGGACCTGGAGAGTTTTGGATGCAGGTAGAAGATTCTGTAGTAGCACAGAACATGCATGAGACTCTACTAGAGGCCATGAAAGCCTTGAGCGAGGAGTTCCGGCAGCGCAGCAAGACCCAGGCAGCGGGTGCGTCTTGTGGAGGGGGCACTGCTTCTAACCCTATTAGTGTACCATCCCGACGCCACCACCCAAATCTGCCACCATCCCAGGTTGGTTTCTCCAGGCGAGCTAGAACTGAGACTCCTGGAGTGCCGCACAGCACCAACACATCCCCCACCCCACGACACGGTTTCTCCAGGTCACGGACAGCCAGTATTGGGGCTCGGGCAGAAGACGGTAGTGGCAGAATGACGGCACTTAGCACTAGTCCAAGCCTTAACGGTTCTTCTTGCTCTACCACTCCCACCCTGCGACCCAAACCCACGCGGGCACCCACCCCCGCCAAAATTACACTCAGTCTGGCACGATACACTCCCAACCCGGCACCCTCCCCGGCCCCCAGTCTCTCCTCTAGCTCTGGCCATGGCTCAGAATGTGGATTGGGTGGAGCTCCAATGGGAACAGTGCCCATCTGCACCTATGCTCGGATTCCCCAGAGAGTGTCCATGTCAGGCTCACCCAGTGACTACGGCTCGTCTGATGAGTATGGCTCCAGCCCTGGTGAACACTCTCTTTTGGCTGCAGGACTCCCTGCTCCTTTAGTGGACGCCTCTACTGGCTGTGTTTTAGTGGGACACCGTAACAGCTCTCACAAGCGAGCACACGGGCGCAGGGTTCTTCGCCGCTCATCCAGCAGAGAGTGTGAAGCTGAACGCAGGTTACTGAGCAAGCGTGCCTCCCTTCCACCTTCTTCTGCTCAGGAGCGCCTTGTGCCTCGTCGCAGGGAGGAGGAAGAAGAGGAAGATGAAGACTATGCTGTTATGTCTCGCAGTGCCAGCAGGGAGTCATTCACCTCTCGACGAGGCTCAGGAAGCTCAGCGACAACTTCAAGTGGGCAGCTGGAAAATTCAGCAGATAAAGGTGTCAATACGAGGGAGGTTCCGGAGGATGCATCGATTGAGAGTGGCTACATGTCCATGTTGCCAGGAGTTACGGCTCCTCCTGCAAGTCTTTCTCTTTCAGTGTCCGAAGCTGAATCTAAGGGAGGCGATGAGTATATGGCTATGACCCCAAACAGCAGTGTTTCTCCACCGCAGCACATTCGTGTTCCTGTTTCTGAGGGCTACATGATCATGTCTCCTAACAGCAGCTGTTCACCAGATCTGCATGGTATGAGTGGGTGCTTGTGGGGGAGCAGGAGCAGCATGGAGAGTCGTGCAGGAAGTGACTACATGAACATGTCGCCCATCAGTGCCAGATCAGCCTGCAGCACGCCCCCTTCACATCCTGAACAGCACCCATTGCAGCCCAAAACTGTCTATTCCTACTTCTCCCTGCCACGCTCCTACAAACACACCACCCTCTCCACTCGTTTTGAGGATGATTTGGGTCAGGGTAGGAGGCCAGAAGGAGTTTGTAGGAGTGACAGTGGTGCTGGAGGAAGAGTTAGGCATAGTGGTTACCCTAGTGGTGGTGACTCGTCTGTTGGCCCAAACGGAGGTGGTCACCTGTCCTTGTCCTCCTCGTCTTTCTCGTCGAGTTCAGCAAGCACGGAGAGCTTGGAGGACAAACCATTGTCCTTGCCTGCTGGGATAGTAGGGAAGACCACCAGGTCGAGCACAGGACACAGGGTAGGGGGTGCTCACCCCAAAGACTCAGCTCACCACTATCACCAGCAGAGACGAGGGCCAGGGGTCCAGAAACAGGGTCATCCACAGCAACGAAAAGGCAGACCCTTCAGCCTCTTTGTGGACATGTCCAAAGCTAACACCCTGCCTAGAGTTAGGGAGACCTTGCAACCCACAGTACCCCAGAGCTCTGGTGAGTATGTTAGCATTGTTTATCAGGGTGAACAAGGAAGCTGCAACAAAGGGGTAACAGCAGTAGATCAGGGGTGCTCTGTGGTGCAAAGGCATCCAAAGACATTATATGGACCACCTCAATGCCAAGTTGGCAGTACTAGTCTACCCCGCAGTTTCTCAGCACCCCTCTCCACAACCATCTCCACATCCTCAGAGTACGTTAACATGGATTTAGGCAACTCGCCATCTCCACTGTCTTGCACACCCCTTTCTTCTTTCAACCCTGCTCCAGCAATAGCCCCAAAGGCCAGAGAGAAGCTCACCAGAGCTCCTCAGGTGGGACAGGAAGCTGAAATGGGACACAGAAAGAGTAGTAAAATTACTTTGGCATCTAAAGACATAACTGCTGCTCCTTTTACAGACTACACAGAAATGGCCTTTGGACTGGTTGCAGCAGAAGGCGCTTCACATTGCCCTAAACCTAGTCAAACAGCTGAGCCGTCCTCTATGGAGAGGGAACAAAGCATGGAGTTCCCCTCGCCCAAGGCTTTCCCCAAGTCAGATCAAGGTGCTCGAGTGGTCAGAGCAGAATCATCAGCAAGGCGAAGGCACCGCTCTGACACCTTCAAGGCACCTCCACCTCTCCCTCTTTCTCCCTCTACCTCCTCCTCCATTTTTCCTGAAACCCCTCAGGCCAATCCACCTCGACGCCATGGCCTAGATAGTTCCCTTTGGGCTACTGGACAGCCAACCACTTCACAGTGTGCTGGTCCTGGAGTGGCAGCTGTACCTACAGCCCAGGCAGCATCCTCATCTTTAGAGCAAAGTCTGAACTACATTGATCTTGACTTGGCCAGTAAGGAGAGCCCTCAGATCAGCCTGGACGGATCTTCTGGCTCTCACTTCTCTGTCCTGGGAGGAGGGTCAACGGTAGGGTTGGCTGGAACAGCAGTGGGGGGAAACACCAACTCCAACATCAACACCTATGCCAGCATCGACTTCTTCAAGTCAGAGGAACTAAGAGTCCACCAGAGCAGCAGGAAAGACAGCAAAGGTTTGTAATTTGTTTGCTTAAAGGGGTGTTTTACTTTAAATTAACTGATAATAATGAACAAGCTTTTCAAATTATCTTGTACATTCTATGACCATACAAACTGTTTCTGACATATTTGCTGCTGTCAACAATGCTTTAGCTGTGTTTACTGCTCAACTCTATTACGTCACATAGACATGTTGCACTATAACTGTATTTGTGAAGTGATAAGAGGATTGATTCATGCTTGCCAATATATGTGTAGATATCACTGCTCACTGCATGTATTAAAATATAGATAGTATTTTGGTAAAATTCACTGTCGGATTGTGGCAAGTCGACTGTGCTGATGATCTGGATTATGAATTTAGTGTCACATGAACAAAATATTCTTTTAAAAGTTATTTTAAGTTAGTGGCTGGGTTTCCAAGAGAAAAGCATTGGGGTCTGTTACTAAATATAACAGAATTGGCAGTTTGCGTTGATAACATTGAGATTGAATTTGAATTTACCATGACTGTATATATATATATATATATATATATATATATATATACAGTCATGGTAAATTCAAATTCAATCTCAATGTTATCAACGCAAACTGCCAATTCTGTTATATTTAGCGCAGAAACATCTGTGATTAGTATATATATATATATATATATATATATATATATATATATATATATATACATATATATATATATATATATATATATATATATATATATATATACACACACACACACACACCATTGTATGCAAATGTTTGGGTGCCCCTGGTCAAATGTTGATTTTCTGCAGAGAACACACTTCTGCATATTTTATACCCAATTATTGTTTATGTGATGAATTTAACATGTTGGAAAAAATAAATACAGTATAAAATGTGGCCTGTGCAAAAGCTATGGCCCCTTTATTATGTGTTTTCCCCCATTATGTGAAACTCAACAGATAAATAGAAATTGTGCACTAAATTTAGCAAAAAATGTCGTATATGTAAGTGTGTTCTGATGAGACAAAATGAAGTCTCCAAAATGGTAATTTTACAGAAAAAGGAAAAAACATACTTAACTTTGAAAGGTTATTTTGGATCATTTTTGTTGCTATATTCATCATGAAATATGAACACAATGTAAAGGGTAGGTAGCATTTTCAACTTAAAAGTAAAAGAATTAAAAAAGGGAAAAAGTGGGTTTTTGTTCTGACCTTGATGTTAACCCAGCCTCTACAGAGAACACACATAAATATGACATTTTCTGCAATTTTTACTGCACATTTGCTATTTATTTAACACATTGAAATTGAAACATATTGGATTTTTTATTGTATTATATATTTTTGGTTCTGGGACACATTGTCTTATATAATAAATACATATTTTCAAGTGAACATCTAAAATATTGGTATTGTTTTTATCTTCTAGAATAATTAGTGACACATTAGTTTGTAATTTATAAGTAAATTCATCAAGGTGGCATGTCTAATGTTTAACATGACGTTCAGATTTGGACTGCAATGTATAACATTTGTCTTGGTATTGGTAGACATAGACATGGAAATCCTGATTAAAGTTTACAGTAGATGCGCTTGGTGTGGAGAATTGGAGTGTTTTTCTCTTGATCTTCATAGTATAGTCGTGGAAAATGGCCTAGTTCTGTATCTGGACTGCTTGGTGTCTGCTCCCATTAATGCAGAGAGACGATGTGTAAGAGGAGTGCAGGCTTGACAGCTCCCATATAGTAGTGCTAACCACAGCGTGTGTGGAGGAGAAAGGAGTGAACATGGGTGTGTGTTTGTAAGGGATTCCTTAGTGTGGCTGTATACTATCTTATTTAACTCGCGCTCTGTGATTATAGATAATTAAGCAAGTGTAAGAGCGTGCGTGTGGGTGTGCGTGCGTGTGTAATATAATGCTTGTGAGTGGGCGTAAAGGCAGCTGAAGCCGTAAAGCCGCCGTGCGTCTGTGTATGAGGCTAGGACTGAGTGTTTTATGTGCTGCTAAGGGATTCCTCTGTGCAGACTTATAGCCGCACGCATATATTTAACGCACATGGTGATTGTGGATAATTATGGCCATTTAGACTCACTCCTGCTGAAAATGGGTCTGATTATTGCTTTAGTGTTCTCTCTCTCTCTCTCTCTCTCTCTCTCTCTGTGTCTCTCTCTCTCTCGTTCTCTACCCTGTCTCCTTTCCTCTTCTCTTGCCTCTCGTCTCTCGATGTTTATCTCTTTCACCTTTGTAGCTTGCTGTTTCTCTCCATCCTCTGTTCACTTCAGACTTTGTTAAGGAGACTTTTTAGTTCCGAGCTCACTACAGATTAGCATTTGCATTAAGCAGGCCCTGGGTTAGCAAAGGTTCCCATGGATTAGCCCAAGAAATCTCCCAAAACACAGTGCTGAATTTGCCAATGCGAACACCGGGGTCAGATTAGGTAACTAGGCAATTTTTAACCTGAAAATTATAATCTTAGAATTTGTGGAATGTATTTAGCCCAGTGTTTCAGAGCTCAAACGCAGAAGCTTAGCTCAGGGTTTAAGCAAAGGCCAGTGGGAACACAGACTAAGCTGTCCATGGACTAACCTCAAAGCCTCATTATGATCTGCATCCAAAACATACTTAGGGCGTCACAGCTATTCATATTTATTATGTAGTGTGCCTCAAATACGTCAATTATGAAGGAAGTTACAATTGGAGAAAATACATCTTCTGATAAAGATAGTATTCGATTAAGGTCACACTATGTCATATTGTTGACATACTACTGGTCAGCTCAGCGATGACCGTGGTGCTTATAGAGCCACCGTTAATAAAGCATCCTGACGGATAAAATACAGTTGTAGTAACATGGTTGTAGTAACAACAGCAAGAAAACGAACAAAATGATGTAAGCTTTTATAGCATCCCAGCTGTCTGACGTCTTGAGGGGAAAGAGGCTGAAGAGCTGAGCCAGTGAAGGAGAGATCTTCGCATAGCGAGAATAAGCAGGAAAAGCTTTCAGCCATCTTCCCTTACCAAAGCCTGCTCGCAGCAGTCTGTCACAAGTAGACAGTTTGGTGAAGAATGAATTCTGCAGTTTTGGTCTTAATCATTTTAAGAATTCACGTGTTGAGAGTTGTTCTTGATTGACAGCTGACTTTGACTGATTGAGTTTTGTAATCTAATCATATTCGTCTACATCTCTCTGGCTTTAGCTGGACAATGAATGCAGTTGAGAGAATGGCAAGATGTAACAGGGCTCATATAACTTAAGGTAACAGTCACACTGATTATGCCCACCAAAAAAATTATTCACTTTTATGATTACAATGTTTGATGGTGTAGTTGATGGTCCAAAACACAGAATATTGCTGACCCTTTCCACAGACAAAATAATTATGGCCCAATCCCATTTCTTATTTTTACCCCTACCCCTTGTTTTTGAGTGTCACCTTGCCCCTTAGAACTGAGTTACAAGTCTAATAGCAGAGGAGGGTTCAGCAACCTCACTGCTGGGCTTTAGTTAAGTTTAAGGCATCATATGCTTTCAAAGAAGGAGGGTGCATCAATTATTTATTAGCATCCACCCCTAATTCTTTGGTGATACGAAGCTTGAGTCAGCTATTCGCCAGCTTCTTGTTCGAATTTTCCTGTTCCACTTTAAATGAAGAAGCAGTTACATTCTGGCGCTTCACTCGTCAGTACTGGACTATTTAAGGTGGAACAGGAAATTTAGCTGGCCAGCTACCAAGACATCAGCATACCAGTAGCGATTTTTCATGCTTGTTATAAAGAAAAGGACCATAATACATTGAAACTACATTAAACTAAGACAGTACAATGGTTATCTGAATTTTTAATGAAGAAAATATTTACATTTGTGGAGTGTGCCTCTGAAAAACGTCCGTTTGGAGGGCCGTGTAGCCCTAAAACTTCGCTACCACTAGCCATGAACGCGCAAAACGAAGAAGTGAGGGAAGAAGTGAGCTCCTGCTTTCATTAAATAAATATGATAGTATGTATTTGCCTAATGTGCTTAACATTTGAATCTTTGGATTGTATTAATATAATAAATCTGTGGGCTCTATAGAATTAGTTTTTCTCACAGGTAGGGGTGCCTGGCTGTAAAAGGTTTGAGAACCTTTGTTCTAGGCTACACCCTACTGTGTTTGACTGTGAATTGAGCTGTATATAGACGTACATGGTAACAGTCAGTCTTTCACTGACTGTGTCTATATGGAGTTTTTTCTGACGGCACCGTGAAGTCGCTGAGTCTTGCCAACTGAACACAAACAATGTAAACACAATCTCAGCCATGGGTCATGAGTTCTAAGCATTCCAAACTGAATGAAACTCTAATCCTAATATACACAAACAAGCAAAAATATAAATAATTATGTTGGTTGTGAAAAGGTCTGCTAGGGTGAAAACTAGTCAGATTTATTTCCTCATGTTTTTGGTTTCACCTGAGGCGGAAACTCTTAAGACTAATTTTAATAAGATTGGTGTCTGACTCACTGACTCACTGAGTTTGTTTTGACTCCTGTGATAATCACATTTTTTTTAGAAATGTAATTATCTTATGATACCTTTTCTATGATCTTCTTTTTGTCTTGTTTATGGTTGTGCTGCTTATCAATGTGTAAAAGCAGCCTGTATAAATTTTCAGTGTGCTTCACATATACATATACACACCGATCAAATAACATTATGACCACCTCCTTGTTTCTACACTCATTGTCCATTTTATCAGCTCCACTTACTATATAGGTGCACTATGTAGTTCTACAATTACAGACTGTAGTCCATCTGTTTCTCTGCATACTTTGTTAGCCCCCTTTTACCCTGTTCTTCAGTGGTCAGGACCCCCATGGACCCTCACAGAGCAGGTACCATTTGGGTGGTGGATCATTCTCAGTACTGCAGTAACACTGATGTGGTGTCTGTTAGTGTGTGTTGAGCTGGTACGAGTGGATCAGACACAGCAGCTCTGCTGGAGCTTTTAAACACTGTGTCTACTCACTGTCTACTCTATCAGACA